ATTTCTGTATATAATAGTTAAGCAGAAACAGAAACAGTGGTTAAAGATGTATTTGAAAAAAAGTACATGGTTGATTTGTCACAGTATATCAACTTCAAATTATTTAACAAGGGCAAATTTCATGGTGTAAGTGGAAGATCAAAATAGAGGTTTCTTACCTCTCATCATCCATTTCTGAAAATCTTTATTCATAACTAAAGTGCATTGCTGATTTGTGGTATTGCCAGAAAACATGGGAGAGTAGCATCAGTTTGCTCATTCTGATGCAATATAGGACATTATTTTCAGATGTAATCTTTTATCCTCTGTTTGCTAGGCAATTTATACGTAGTATGTTATATTTAGGTACAGTTTTTTTCAGTGGGTAGAGATTGAGGCCACTATACTCTCCAGCATATTTGACCATATTCTTAAGGTCATGTCTTTTGTAAAGAGCAAGAGCAACTTGCTCTCATGCTAAACAGATACATGCACTGAAATGTCCAGAAGATCAACTTTGATATGGAATACAAAGAGAAGATAACCACGAGTGGGTTTTTTTTTGTTTTGTTTTGATTTTTTTTTAATGAGTTTCCTTTGGGATGTGGGGTGGTTGGTTGCATTTGGTTTCTTGTAATTCTTGACCATTGTAGTTCTGAACTTTAAAAACACATTGTGATGTTTATATGGTAAATCATTATTATTTTCAACATCCCTTCCACTTTTTCCTTCTGACAGTTACAAGTTTTTTGTATTTAGGCCTACTCAACTGAAATAAGCTAAAATAAGAGTACCTAGTTCCGAAGGGAGGATTGTGAAATGTCTGCAGCACAAGTTTGATCATAGAATTATAGTATATCTCAAGTTTGAAGGGGTCTGTAAGGATCATTGAGTCTGACATCCTGCTCCTCGCTAAACCACAGGACTAAGAGCATCGTCCAGATGCTTAGTGAAATCTGAATGGTTTGGTGTCATGAAAGCTTCAGGAGGAATCTGTTCCAGTGACTGACCACCCTCTCAGTGAAGAATCTTTCCATAATGTCTAACCTGAACATGTCCTGACACAGTTTCATGCCATTTTCTTGTGTCAGCTCAAGAATTAAACAATTGTTTCTGCATCAAATCAATAGGATGTTTTGTCTGGTTTTAATCCTTCTAGAATATTTAAGCAAATTTATTGGGCAATATATTATATACAAGACTGTATACGCCTTGAAGATGTCTCTTTTGGTCTGATCTATTATAGTACATTTTGTTGTCCTTAAATTGAGATCAATGAACACTTAACTGGAGGTACCAGCTGGACTTTAGGTTAAGAGCATACAAAGTTACTTATAAAACATATACTAAGATTAATTACAACAATTTAAAGGATTGAACATTTTGAGGTTTTTCATATTTTATTATACTATTTAGTATACATAGTTTTATTCATCCTATACATAAGTTTTGTTACACCTGTATGTCATGGTTTAACCTCAACCAACAGCCAAGCCCCACTCACCCACTCACCTACTCTCTCACTCCCCCACCAGCATGATCAGGGAGAGAATCTGCAAGGTAAAAGCCAGAGAACTTGTGGGTTGAGATGAAGCCAGCTTAAGAGGAAAATCAAAACCCAAGCACACAAGCAAAGGTAAACAAGGAATTCTTTCACTGCTTCTCATGGGCAGTAGGTGCTCTGCCATCTCCAAGAGAGCAGGGCCCCATCAGTGGTTACTTTGGAAAACAAACACCATCACGCTGAATGTCTCCTCCTGCTCCTTCTTCCCCTCATTTTATGTACCTGGTATGATGTAGCATGGTCTGGAATATTGCTTTGGTCAATTGGGGTCAACTGTCCCACCCTGAATTTCCTTACAGCTTCACATGCACCCCCAGAAAATGCCTTGGCTCTGTGTAATCTATATGAATTATAATCTCTGTGTTGTCAGTTCTGTTCAGCACAAACCCAAAACACATCCCTATACCAGCCACTGGGAAGAAAATTAACTCTACCCTAGCCAAAACCAGCATACTATAATATTATAGTTTTCCCAGCACCTGGAGATGAATGATGAAGTAGGCAAAAACATATAATTGCCTTACAATGCATTTGCAGTCTTTCTTGTCTTTAATTTTTCACATATAATTTAGCACCAAACTTCTTATTCACAGGTAATTGTAACAGATATTTTTAAGCAGTTTAAGTTCCCGTCTGCTATCCTGAGATTATTTTAATGATATCTGTACTTTTCAGTCGAAGATATTTACCAGTTTTTTGAAAGGATAATACAGTATCCATATCCATTTTAGCCCATGCTTCCCTGATGATGCTGAAACTAAATGTGAGTCACAGTGTTTGTCTGTCTTGAGAGACTCATTCTTCTGACAGGTTGGTATTGAGACTGGAAAACTCAGATCACATAGATGGTGGAGCAGGTACAGGATGTTGTGGTTTGACAATGGTCAAACTTCAGGCACCCACAAAAGCCACTTGCTCACCCTCCCCTGCCACAGCTCGGCAGAGGGGAGAAAAATTAATGAAGTGTTCATAGTTGAGGCAAGTATTGAGAGAAAAAAAAATGTCCAAGGGCAAAACAGGTTCGACTTAAAGGTACAAAGTGAATTTATTGCTAACTAAATTAGAGAAGGTAATGAGAAGTAAAATAAGCCCTTAAAAACATCCTTTCCTCCCCCAGCCCCTCCCTTCTTCCCACCAACAGTGCAGAGAAATGGGGCATGGGGGTTTGCTCAGTTCATCACCCCAGGTTTTCTTCCCCTGCACAGGGAGAGGAGTCCTCCCCCTGCTACATCATGGGGTCCCTCCCACAGGAAGCAGTTCTCCATGAACCTCTCCAGAGTGGGTCCACTCTCACCAGCAGGAGTCCTCCCAAAAGTGCTGCAACGTGAGCCCCTCCACGGGCACACAGTCCTCCTGAAGCTGCTGTGGTGTGGGTCACTCTTCCATGGGTGCAGTGCTCCAAGGACAGGCTGCTCCAGCTGGGAAGCAGGGGCCCTCTCTCTCTCCACCAGGTCTCCCACTGGATCACAGCCTCCTCCAGGCATCCACCCTCTCCAGCATGAACACCTCCCCGTGGGCTGTGGGTGGATCTCTGCATTCCCCGTGGATCCCCAAGGGCTGAGGGGCACAGCTGCTTCACCTTGGTCTCACCACGGCCTGCAGAGGAATCATGGCTGTGGCACCTGGAACAGCTCCTCCCCTCCTTCTCCACTGATCTTGGTGTCTCTGTTGTTTCCCTCACATGATCTCACCTCCTCCTCTTGTTTGACAAAAAAAATCACCTGCACTTTGTTTTGATTTCCTTCTTAAAATACATTATCAAAGAGGCGTTACCAGCCTCTCTCATTGGTCCAGCTTTGGCCAGCAGCATGTCCATCTTCAGAGCCATCAGGAATTGGCTCTGCCAGGCATGGTGGAAGCTTCCAGCAGCTTCTCACAGAAGCCGCCTCTGTGGCTCCCCTAACTATCAAAAACCAGAGGATGCGAAACCAATACATAGGCATACAAAAGAAACACGTTTTCAGAGATGGTGGAACAGCTACAGGCATAAAAGAGAAAAAAGGTTGATACTACTGAACTACCTGTAATTCTTTGATCAAGATTCTCAGTGATACTATGTGCCCTTATAAAAAAGACACAACACCCTGAAAGCAAAGACTTTCCATAATGGGCAAGTATTTACTTACTTGAAACCATGATTTTCATGTGTAACAAGCAGTAATAATATGGATACATTTTAACAATTTTTAAAATTTTGTTCAAAGAAGCAGTACATCAGTAATGTTTTTCTTGATTGCTCATAGACCATGGTTATGGTCAGGAGTGTCTTCAGTGCTGTCATTTGAGGTGACTGCATTGGTGCCATGTTTCTCATACAGTTTATGAGACCATGCAATTCTGTGCACTTTGCATAGTTAGTGTTTGAGCTGAAATCTCAAAGGGCAAGTAATTTGAAAAGTTTCAGCAGTATTGTAGGAAGTTCTGTATATTCTTGTGTCTGTATCCATTTAGATGGATGACTGTATAAATACAAAAAATCTGATAATCTTGCAATGCTACTTCCTATTACTGGGTGCCTTGACTTAAATATTTATGGTTTTGCGTGTGTGGTTTGTTTTTGGTTTGTTTTCTTTTTTTTGCCTTGGTTGTCAGAATTTCTGAATAAGAGGTTTGAACCAAAAATATTGCTGTTTTTCTTTATTCCCCTGGAGAATGTCACCTGCCTATACAGTACCCTTAATGGAAACTACACATTCTGGGGTAGGACAGGTAATAACACAGAATTGCTCTGTGGAATTGGCATGTAATGTTGACCAGTTAGTAGCTGGTACTTCCAGCTACTTTTCCGACTTTGCTTTGTTTTTTTTCTTGATTAAGCAATAGACTTCCCTGTTTAGTTTTTACATTTATTATATTACAAACTGAGGAACAGCTTGTTAAGTCAGCGTAGAAAGGCAGAGCTTATCTGGATCCTAGGTTTCTTAAGAAACTGGTTTTTTTAGGTCTGCACAATGTCTGTTGAGGATTTGAGCTGCTGTAACCATGCAGTCAGGAAGATTTGTATGATAATGTCTCCTGCATAGCACAGCTGAAGAAGTATATTGCTGCAGCATGGAAATGTGGTAGTACAGCTTTTATTCATTTTTACCTTTCATTTTCACTGGCATAATGCACTGTGAAACCTAATGTGAAACTTGGAGGCATACCAGAAAAGGATACTACCTGTGTGAGGCATAAATATTGTCAGATATGTGAAACTCTTCTAAGGAAGAGAAAAGAAGCAGATCCATTCCGATGAATTGGTTAAATTAGGCTTTTTACATTTTTCAGCCAATGCTGGTGGCTGCAGCTGAGCCCTTTAGGCTCTGCTGGCTGTGAACAATGGACTTGCAGATTTTTCTTTTTCCTCTTACAAAAAAAAAAAAAGAAGTTAAACCGACGCTTGGTATTTGCGATAATTTTGGCCCCTCCTACTGTGCCAATTGAAACCACTCCCTACATAATCAAAACAAATCATTCCCCATGATTCTGAGCATATTTTACATTTCAGTACAAGCTTTTGTGCACTGAACTACATTTTGTAGATAGTACATTTTTTAAAAATGAAAGTAATTTTTTTGGAAGACAGATAAGAATGACTCAAACAGCACCTCATTTTTGGAGCTCAGAAGCACGGCAAAATCAATCTTGAAGCACTAACCTGCTTCAATTTTAAATACTGGAATATATAATCTAATAATTACTGTAGTATTGAATTCCATTTTCCATTAGAAAATCCAATAGGTAGAACATTTAAATTGCTGTTAAAAGTATTTCAGATTACATATTTAGTAATTTAAAACTTATTAATCTCAAATCATATTACAGACTTCAGATCTGATCTTTGAATAGCTTATTATACTGTTGAATAAATTTTAGCACAGTACTTATTGTACTTATATGTCTTCAGGTTCTGTATTTTTTATTTCAACTGTGCCTTCTTTCATGGCTTGGATGACTTATATTTCCCACTGGTTTGATGAAGATGATTGGTATGAAGGACAACAAAGAGTAAGAATTGCTTAAAGTAATATTTTCTCTTTTACTATTTTTATATTTTTCTTCTTTAAGCTGCTCTTTATTATTATATTGATTATATCAAAAGTAGTTGTCATGGTTTGAGACAAAATGACTTTTTTGAAAATTAATGTTGCTAGCTGCATAAAAGGTACTGGAAGTGTGACAGCCACCTACTTGCATTTTTTAGGTTGCATAATTTAACAAGTAGTAATTTTTTAATATGCAATGAGATGAAAAGCAAACATTACACTTTGTTGTATTAGAAGGAATTAATGTACCATGCATGGAGTAAAATGAAATAATTATAGTTAGTAATAGGGTAAACCACAAATATTTGGGAGAGATTAAATTCACATAGGGTCATTTCCAAGTTGTATCTTGGATAGCTTTATGTTTTTATTACCATTTTTCTGAGGAGGAGTTGTTACTATAGCAACATTTGCAGGATTACTTGGATTTATTTTTAGTATGTATTAGCTGCATGTCTACAGCTGCTTTCATAGATTTATGGTGGGAAATGGATATAAGTCACATTACTCTCACTGTATTAAGCTCTTTTATGATACCTTACATTTCTGTGATTTCTTTTTCTGTTTTCAGAGTATATAGTCAGCTAATTAGAATGCAGGAGATGCTAGTGAAAACAGCTGCTTTCATTGGATTAATGTGCATTACTCGATAATACCAGCTATATGCTCATAAGTATAAAAAAACTGGCAGATATTAATACGGTTCCACTGTTCTCATTTTACATGTCACTCATAATATGGGTGCTTCAGATGTAGAATTACCTTTTAACAGCTGTCATCAGGGATTCGGTAGTGAGATGTGTCAAGAGGTAACTTTATCTGAAATCAGAGCAGTCTTGGCAATTTGCCAGCAGAAGAGCAATCTTCCAGTGATTGTTGTAACTCTGTATTGGAAGTTGAGAACAGAATCTTATGCAGACTCTTAGATGCTTCATTATGTGATCAGACATGGTTGTATACATATCTCTGTGTATTGCACACATTATGTGCAAACTGTGATTAAGCAATACTCTGCAGATATTGGCTTGGTTATCACTGCCCAGAAGGAGTTGCTTGAGTAGTGTGCATTGTCTCAGACTATTCAGACACCTGCAGTAGTAACTGCAGTTTGTTAAGCCACGTCAAGACTACAGATTGGTTAGCATTTTGCAGTATTCCAAAGCAGGAAGAACTTTTGTTTGTTTTGTCAAAGTTTTCATATTGTAAGTTATTTATTGGCTTTTAAGCTGTATATATACCAGAATATTTCCATATATACCAGAGAATTTCCAATTACTCTCATTTCATGGGTCAGGAAAAACTACTGAGAATTTAATTTCCTAACATGGCTAAAATGTGCTTGGTGTTTCCCAGTTCCAGTGGAAGGACACCAGTGCTAATTATGTTTGTGTTTTTCCATGCGTCTCAGTGCTGTTGAGGCAGACATTCAGTCAGAAGTCATTTTCTGCTCTGTCTTGCAGACATGCCAACATTTCTTCATAAGTTTGAACACCTTCATGCTTTTAGCAAGATAAAATGATTGTCCACTATCCAGTGCTTCTAACTGGTCCCACTGGATAGGGTAATGAATTTGAAACTCTGGTTCACAGGTGACGTTTTCTTCTCCAAGGATGGGTAAATACACCCAATGTTTTCAAGGAGAAATAACATGATACAATGCCTTTATATCACTAAAGATCGTACTAATTATTATCTTATCATTGATTTGCTGACAAAAATATTGGTGCCTTGGGACAGTAGTGTGGATGAGATATATGAGAGTTTTATATGTCTGACATACAGGAGTGACAGCAAACTTTCCACATAAGAAAAGAGACAGACCTGATGGAAAATAACGACAATAGAGTGAACAGAAGCAGAGGACACTAGCACTTTACTCCTTGTAGCTGTTAAGAAACTACACTTTGTATACACAGAAGCATAACATAAGGCTACTTGATTAACATAAGGCTACTCTATATCCACTTTTGTATGCATGCCATATTGCATATTTGGATAGGTCTTACAGCACATGGACCACAATCAAAGCGCATGTGAGCATCTGTTGTTGCTTGTGCTTGATGGTTAGATATTTATGGATTCTGATGACATGCCTGCACTGTATTGATAATGAAAGTGTTAAGTGATGGGTTTAAAGAGCTATTGTTATTCTACAAGTGTTATCATAGTGCAATTGGGAAATACAATGAGCAATGAAATACACTGAGTAGCTGAAGCAGAGAAAAAGGAGTTAGATTAAAATTAAAATGGTGCCTGTTAAAGAGCTGCAGTTGCCAGGCTACTGGCACTGCAGTTTTGTCTGTGGTGTGACACAACACTCCGTCTTTTCTCCTGCATCCTGTAGTAACTGCATTATTCGGGAACATCAAGATTTAGTTCCTCCATCTGTCAAGTAAAGTGATTTCATTCTACAATAAGAACAATATTTTCCATTTTTGGGACCAGCAAGGTATTGGAATGAACATGGAAATTCTAAAGTGCTTTCCAAAAATTGATACCTATGCTAAGGTAGGGATTATTAGGCATTTATCTTTAAGTTATTGATATAAAGCCATGATATGTATCCAGTCAATTCAGTTGTTATTTTTAAATAATATTTATGATATACCAATTTTCAGTTTAATGTGGTTGGTTGTTGGGTTTTTTTCTATATTAAGCAACAAGGAAGGACGTAGAATGTTGCTGTTTCTGCCAATTGAAAAGAAAGGGTTTTGTTGTCCTCCCTCTTTCCTTCATCTCCTTGGAAACTGTGAGCACACACTGCTAGCTTTCCCAATGTGGTATGCTTTTTTTACACACACCGAGGTTTTTTCATTGTATACTTAAGAGTCAAATATAATTACTTAAAAATAAAATACTTCTTTACAAAGTATAAAACATCTCCATTGTATGAAAATGCACCAAGTGTGAAATCATACATATGTTCAGTTATGCTGCATTTCTACGTTTTTGTCCTTTTACTCAGGCTGTTTTGATGGATACATCTTTCTCTTTTATATCTGCTTACTCGGTTAATTATGCTTAACAGAAATCTAGGATGTTTGAAAAGATGTGCAGGAAATTGCTTTAAGGCATGATACCTACTAGAGAGCAAGTCAGTATTCCACACACAACTGTCATTTCTTCTTCTAGATACTGTCATTTTGAATTTCAAGGCAAATGCTTCCTCTTGTCAAATTGTATATCATTACAAAGAGGAGGAAATAAGAACAAGTTTTAAACAATAAATATTAGTTATTAAAATGCAAATTCTTTTCTGTAATAAAGCTCAGAATATTTTATATATGTAACTTTTTTACATATATTTAAATGGGGAAAATCTAATCAAAGTTTAAGAATACTTATTAAGCATGAATTCTTAACTCAGTGAAATAACACTATATTACAGACCAACATTTTTCATCTAAAATTGAAAAATTTCACCTATTAGCAGTATTTTTAAAGAGATTACTGCAGAATCCTACAAGACAAATCTGTTGTTACTCTAAAAGAAAAATCTGTAGAATTCTGTTTTAGCATCTGTAAGAGATCTTGGCTTTGCAATTAATTTTACATGGAATCAAACTGCAAATTAAACAAGTCTTAAATAATTTTTTCTTACCAATTAAAACTTCATCTAATCAAGAATTCTTAGCTCCCATATGAGAAGATAAAAAAGAGTATCTGTACAAAGTGAGAAAAATCTTTTATTATTATGAAGTAAAGACTTGTGTAGTCTTAGGTTCTATATAGTTGTCAACTTTTTATCAGTCTTACATTGATGGTTTTCAGGCAGTAAACCTGCAAACTAAACCTATGATAATCTAATATTTTACAGCTCATTCTCTCCTACTTCACGGTGCCTTTTTTTAACTCCCTTATCAATTTGCTGACACACCTACAGTTTTAACCATTGTTTTCCCTGGAATCAAGAGCAGAACCCAAAATTTCTAGTTCCAGGTATTCTGTGCTTTCCTAAAATAGTTATCTAATCAGCTGGAGGATCAGCTGGGGGACATTAATTTCAGTAAAAGTGGTTGCTAATGGTGCCAGTTATTTTTTCGTGGGAACTAGAAGTCTGTTCCGAATGCCCCAAATCACATTATTTCTCTGCATATGTGATTTACATTTTAATTGAATAGAAGGGACCTCTGGAATTTGTAATTTTACTAAGCAGTAAAAGAACATTAAATGGAAAAATAAGAAGTTTGGAGGCTATTTTTGCCACTTGATGATGTTGATTCTTTAAATAATTAGATAAATTTCTCTGTCATATCATTTAGAACTCACCATTTAGAACACCATTGCAATGAGATGGATTGCATAGAAGTTGCAAGATTATGCAATGTATAGAAATGTTCTCTCTGGAGTCTCTAATTTACTGCAAAGGTCGGAAGAATAAAAATTATTGACAGATGGAAAGGAAGTCTAATAGCCAAAGCCCTAGTCTGGAACAAAGCTATATCTTGTAACTTGATTTTCTGTATATTTCTGTTCTGCTGTTGCAGTCTCTTTCACCAAATTTTCAAAGGTTACATGTGAGCATTTCATTTCCTTCAGTCATTTGGTACTCAGAATGTTTAAGCACTGTAACTAGCGTCAGTGATATCTTTGAGAGATATCAATCTCAAACATTCAGCTGATCCTGATCTTCTGCTAAAGAAGCCCCCAAAATAAGTCACTCTCAGTTTTTTTTTTCACTTTCCAAAGTGAGAAAAACATATGAAATTTGCTACCTATAATTATTCATTACTGTTTACCTGCTAAGCAGATATACCAAGCAGAGGAGAAAAGTTGAAAATAAAATTAATAATTCAAGTTTATTTTTATCCCTAGTATAAATGCATTAAAATAAAATTTTGATAATATTTAGACAACCAATTTTTAGTTGATAGTGACCAATTGGTTTCTTTGGGTACTGTAGATCACTACTGCAACACCTGTATGAAGTTTGTTCTGTAAGTGTCTTAATACTACTGTCATCCAGAAAAATATTTCCCCCTCTATACATTTGACATCAGGTAGGTCAAGACTGATCTACAGCAACATATCTGTGCTAAACTATTACACAGCAGTGCATTGAGGAACCAACCCTTGTACTTCATCAACAGTTGCTCCCTCAAAATGCTTTATTGCATTTGAAGTCTCATTTCTCATTAATTCCCTTTTCTTTGTGAAACTTGACACGGTGCCTAACACTTGATAAATTTACATGGCTGTCCTGCTCTTTCAGGATTATAGTCTTAGCTCTTTGACCTAAAGATGTCATCCTCCATATTACATGTAATATTTTTCCACCTGATGTCCCTCAGTCCATTAATCTTTCCACAGCATAAATGTGACCCTGAGACATTCTGTTACTAGGTAACATGTTGATGTTTTCCTGAATGAAATGGGGGCTAGGTAAATAATTGGTCGGCCCAGCAAAGCTTTTCTTGCATTTTTATGTTGAATTCAGTTTTATCACTCTCAGCACAGCTGGTACTGTGAGACTTGTTTTGGACAGAGAAAGCATAGTTTGCTGTACAGTAGTGTTACCCTAAGCTTTGCTTTTGATTTTTCACAGCTCACTTCAAAGTTTTTTGTTAGGCAGTAATTATGAAGAAAATTTAGAAAGCTTCTCCAGAAAGGATGATAATGAGGATAATGTGATAAAGAGCTGTTCTATGCAAGTGGTTTGAAGACCTTTCTACGTGTCGGTTTTCCTTAAAACTATTAGTATATGGTTTATTTTGTCTGGCTGTCAGTAGGAGATGAATGGGAGAGCAGAGGAAGGCAGTAAACTGTAATAGAGAAAGTATTGAACCACAGAAGAAAATGGACATGATGAACAGTTTCAGCTAGTACAAATCAAGAAGTATTCAAGTTTTTAGGGGCGGGATCCCCTGCCCTCTCCTTTTCTTCCAACTGAATTTTTTGTGAATGGTGTTAGGCACCCTTTCTTGTGTAGCACTGAAGCCTCTGAACATCTGCTTGTCTTTATTTCAGATACATTCATTTGTATCTTAGGAAAGTTGTATTTTTAAAGTAGACATTTATAAATTATTTATGGGAACAAAAATGCATTATTTTAATCTTTAATATTCTGTCATCTTGGGGTCTAATGAATTTCTCTTTTAAAGGCAAAAATGTCACATGTGAAACAAGTGGGACTTTTAGCTGCTGGATGTCAGCCATGGAATAAGGATATATGTGCCGCTAGTGGTGACAGATTTGCCTACTGTGCTACCCTTGCTGTTTATATTTATCAGGTAAGATTATTCTTGTTTATCTGATTAGTTATGCTTTTATATTGTTGTTGATCTCAATTTGAACCCTTTCAACAAATGCTTTTGCAAGTAGGGTTGCTGCTGAGAAGATATCTATGTAAAGCTCAATATTACATTCAGGAAACCCTTGAAGTTGTGTGTGTCAAGAGTTATTTTTAGAAGACAGGCTTACAGTGCAGCAAACATTTGAGATGTGTGAAACTCAGTGATAGAAGACTGGGTTCTGAGGGAGAAATGAAGTAATTCTACAATTCCATTTGAAGCTGTAGTATAAAATAGTCTTTTGCATAGTGGATCCATGGTCCAAAGTCGAGGATTCAGTGACCTACCTTTATTTAATTTGGAGCCCAAACACCTCAGCACTGTGGTCTTCTGAAGTTTGCAGTTGTTGTATATTAACATCTAACTAAAAAAACCAGAAATGCTGTGACATAGAATTTTCAGATTGAGAAATATGTGAGGAAATAAAGGATGTACTTTAATTTTAACAGGTATACAGGTTGTAGGATTAAAATGAACAAAATTTACTGTGTCATATTTGGGCTTTCTTTTTTAATATGTATTTTTAACTGTACTAAGTAATTTCTAAAGTGAGAAGGATTTCAAACTCATTTTTATATTCTTTCCTGTTTACCCCCTTGGATATTACTAAATTATTGCTACCATGCCTGTAAATAAAACATTTTAGGATTGTTTGAGTACACTTCTAAATGAAATATAATCATTTTTAAGTGACAGGAAGATAGACATAAAACTGTTTTTTGCATAGTTGGATATCAGGCAACCTTTCTTTCCAAATCAAATATATAAGAATTTATTTTATTGAGATGTGAGGTACTGGCAATAGTTCAATGCACTATAAATTCATCCATAAGTCTAATACTGTTATATGAAGTATTCTCCAACACAGAGGGATTTAAAGCAAGTTTGCAAAAAATGTGTTTCTAAAATTAATTTTACTATTTGTTTAGCTGGATCACCGATACAATGAATTCAAGCTCCATGCAATTATGTCTGAGCACAAGAAGACAATCACAGCCATATCTTGGTGTCCCCACAACCCTGACGTGTTTGCAAGTGCCAGCGCAGATAGTTTAGTGATCATATGGAATGTGAATGAACAGAAAGTTGTGGCCAAGCTGGACAATACAAAAGGTATTTTAGACATGGAGATCTGTTTTATCCATACAGCTTGATCCATGGGTATAAAAAATACTTGATATAGTGTAAACTCTATAGTTGTTAGGGTGGAGATTTAACAATTGCCTAGCACAATAATAATTGCCTAACACAATCTAACAATATTCTTGTCAGATTTGTTGCAGTTCATTCTAGAAAATAATGGTAGTGTGAGTAAATTGCCTTCAACCATCTTGCATTTGGTAAAGAAAGACATTGTTCTTTTTCTCTAAAGAACTTAACCAGTTCAAGAATTAACTTTGCTAGTGATTTCTTGTTGAGTAGGGGAGAAAAATAATCCCAAAACCAACATTATTTTCATCACTGTATAGAGGATAAACCATTAAATTTTAAAATAAAATATTTCACAATGACTTAGCTAAGTGAAAGCAAACAAAAGGTGGCCTTAACAGATTCAAGTATAAATCATCAGTGAATTTGAACAACAGCTTTTGTATAAATATCCTAATGCTTTTCCACCTGAATTTTGTCTCAGCCTTGAAACTTTCAGGCCTTGAAACTGCTGGAGCTTGTATTACAAGTCTAGGGGGGTCAGGCATCTGTTACAGATACATTTCCATGTCCAGTTCTGATTTATGCCAGTCAAAATCAGTACCTGTATTTCAATACCAGTACCTGTATTTCAAATTGAGATTGATTCTTACAGTCAGTCTCATCAGGTGTCCTTGACTCCTATATTTTCATTGTCAGAAAGTGGGTGCAAACCAAGAATAGTTAGAATCTCAGGATCTAATACGCTATTTTGGGACTCCCTACTCTGATTTTTCCAGAGAATATAGGGATACTTCTGGAAATCTTTTATGTCTTCCATATCATGCAAAAGAAAATTCCACAGTGATTTAATCTATTCCAAAAGAATAATATGCATAAATATAAATGCTGGTACTTTTTTTCAATACATGGCTTGTTTAAAAATCTACTTAAGCCAATGACTACGCATGACGAAATGTTATTACCATTTTAATATTTTTAGAAACTAAATTAAGATAATATGTTTAAACATTTTATGGCTTTCTCTTTTAGTCCCTTTTACACTGCCACATAAAAGTGTCTAAATACAGTTTTAATTTTTCAGCTTCAGAAATTTGTCTTACTGTCATTTATTCCTTCAGGCACATATTATTAAGTTATGAGGATTATGAGGGTTGGAGACATTAAGAACAAAATTCTTAAATAGGACTGCCTACAGTTAGGTATTAGACAACGGAATTAAAACTGTCATGTATCCAGAAGAAAGCTATCAAGAGTTCCCTTTTATTACAGAACTAAAATATCTGATCTTGTCAAAAATATCTGCTTCAGTTAGATTTCTCTCTAAATTTCATTGTATTTGCTAAAACAGGCATTTTGAAATTCTTGGTATTTTACTGTCTTAGTGGTAAATAACTTATAGCAAAGCAAAGTAGTGAATGAAATTCTGAAAGTATTGTTTGCAGGATCAGGCTTATCTTCTTTCAAATGTGTGATTGTCTTTGGCACTGATGAAGTGTAGATATCATGAAATACAGCCCATCAAAAGTAGCATAAAAGTAATCTGGGAAATTATTTTACTTCCTGCCTCTGGGAGTCTAGTTTACTTTTACACTGTAAGATGTTCACACACTTCTCTAAATTTCAGTCTAGCAACTTCTATGTAGAAAAATTATTTCTACTGTTTTTCAAGACCATTGCTGATACTGGGTCGAGGAATACTACCAGAATTTTGTGTCCTGCTTCTTACAAGGTTTGCCTGTATGTTTCAGGAATTCCTGCATCCCTTGGCTGGTGCTGGAATGCAGGTGACGCAGTTGCATTTGTGTCGCACAGAGGTCCACTGTACATTTGGACTATCTCAGGACCTGACAGCGGGGTAACTGTGCATAGAGAAGCACATAGTTTCTTGTCAGATATCAGTCTGTTTAGATGGCATCCAAAGAAAAAAGGAAAGGTGGTATTTGGACATACTGATGGAAGCCTTTCTATTTTTCAATCAGGTAAAAACTCATATGACAAAATATTTAGTTTTATATATGTATCTCTTGTTTCTCCATATGTAATTCTTCACTTTTTAAAATTAGATTCTATAATGTAGGTAAATACATAACATTTTTTCTTGATTCACAATATTCCTATTCCTTCCATATCACAAAAATATTCTTTCTTAGATACAGAATTCAGAGCATTTTCTTTATGTCTCCTGCCTTTTGAGACCAAGATAAGGCTGCATTTTTTTCCCAACTGCAGTAAACTTTTTTTTTTTTGCAAATGATAACAGCCATGATCTTCTACTGAACTATATTTTTCTGCAATTTTATTTTTCTAAATGGAAGGACTTGAATCTTTTGTTTACTTTCCTATTTTTGCATTTTTTCTGGAGTCATCTGTTTCATATTCTAGAATCCTCTGCAATTTCATTGGTAGAATCTCACCTCATACTTAATATTGTCTTCATGGTTCTGTTCTGTCAAAGGATAGATGGGAAAATATTTATCTCTTTTTGTCTGAAATCCACCACACACATTTGTGCATACTTTATAAATAGTCTAGCTCTCTGCTAAGAAGGTGTCACATTGATATGCTCATTTCAAGGTAAAATTCCACTTATTTTCATAGTTTTCTTCAAAGGCAGAAATCTGTATTAGGTTGACTATTTGAATTTTTTCCCGACTGCTTCTTCCTTGTATAAAAATTGATTTTCAACTTTGTGAGAAAAACTGTTCTTTAAATAATGTGTTAATTTTACATAGAATTGTTCTCCAACAGCCATGCTGTTACAGAGCTTGCAAGGGTTTTTCAGGGTGAAGAGAGAGATGAGAATCTTGACCTCATGTTCAGAAGGCTTGATTTATTATATTATGCTATATATTACATTATTACTATGCTAATAGGAATAGAGAGAAAAATTCTCAGAAGCTTGCTAAGCTAAGAATAGAAAAGGAATGAATCAACAAAGTTCTGTGTCCCGGCAGAAAGCAAGAACAGCTCTCCCATGAGTGGTCAGTAAATCCAAACATTCACCCAAGACCAATCACGGATCCACCTGTTGCATTCCACAGCAGCAGATAACCATTGTTTACATTATATTGCTGAGGCCACAGCTTCTCAGAAAGGGGAAAAGTCCTAAAGAAAGGATTTTTATGAAAAGATGTCTGTGACACCATGCAAAATTTATTTTCTTTCAGTTCACTCTACTAAGTTGTCACACAGGATGTCACAGAGAGTAGATTCCCTTGCTTCTGTAGTGCTGTCTGAGTTAGCACTGGCACTGGGAAAAGGAAATCAATTTTAATATGATAACATCTAAGTATTTATCAGACTGATACTTTTCATGAAGTCTATCTATGAATAATGGAAGGTGTCAATTCCTTATTTCTAGAAAAGCAGTAAGGTTTTTTTTGTTATAAGATCACAACTTCAAAAATACAGATCTATTTCATTTGGACTGTACTCTGTCTTATACAACTAAGATTAATCTCTCTGAAAAAATAAAAAAGTGGGAGATAAATATAATATTAAAAAATGTGGGTTTCAATAATTTGGATCATCAAGTGAAACATATAATCTTTTTTGTGGGTGTCAGACTAGATATGAATGGTCTGTTTTGGCTGCAGAATCTATAAGTACTTCATAGTTGCACACTCTGTTTTAAAGAAGAAAAAAAGTCTAAAGGCAATTCTTCAGAATAAGCCTTTACTGCTTACAGTACAGTGTTTTTCTTGTTCTTACTGCCTTTATTTTGCCTGTATGTGCAGTGGTGTGAAGATTTATTTGCATTCAAATGACTTGTATTTTATGCTGTGCTGCAGACCTTTACTCACAGAAATTCTTAGAACAATGTATGTGATTTAACCTACTTTCGTTTCCTATAAAATTATGTTTATAAATCTGATAGCTGTTTCTGTTTTCTGCTGTATTAAACATAAAGTCAAATCTGATCGAAAAAGTCTCTTAAGTCAAATATTGCCAAGACAGCTTCATAATTTCACTGCTGCAGACAAGAGAGCAGGCTAGTGAAAATTTCAGGGAGAGAGGAAAAAATTATGTTTGCTAGTCTTGTAACTATTGAAAGTATGTATTTGATTTAATTTTTAAATAACCTGTTTTCTTGTGCACTTTAAAGGTTCTAAAAATCAGAAACATGTCTTAAGACCAGAGACTCTTGAAGGAACAGATGAAGAGGATCCAGTTACCGCTCTGGAGTGGGACCCTTTGTCAACTGATTACCTTCTTGTTGCTAATTTACATAATGGTATTCGACTAGTTGATTCTGAATCTCTGTCCTGTATCACAACTTTTAGTTTTCCCAGTGCAGCAGCATCTGTTCAGTGTTTAGCCTGGGTTTCTAGTGCACCTGGAATGTTTATAACTGGAGGTAAGGCTTTTATTTCCTGATTTATACAAAGATAACAAATACAGGACTGAGTCTTCAAAAATTGATACTCCAAGTTTGATTTTTATGTTTCATAATATTTTTAAAAGTAGAAGCATACATGAATTGTACATAAAAAAGACCATAACACAAAACCAGAAAATAATAAAACTACACTGAGCAGTTTTTCATGTTTTAAAAGTTTTAGCTACATAAATAATGTGACTTTCTACAATTTGCTAAATAATATTTTCCTCATGCACCCTTTAGAAAAAAATATATTAATTCCTTTGGGAATAGGAATAAAAATGCATTGTAGTAATTGATGCCACTTCAGAGATTTAAAAGATTAAAAGAAGAAAGTAATCTATTTCCTGCCTCTTTTCTACATCACAGACATTATGGCTCAGGTTGAACTAATGAATAAAGAAATTAAGACTGGCAGAATATTTTATGAAAATAGAGGAAGAATTTATCTGTGTTTAAATAGCTAGTATTAATAATGATTGTTGTTAATAGTGATATGTCTATTGCGGTGAATGGAGGACAAATAGGATGCCATGGATGTTACACTACATGATCTCCAGAGGTTCCCTCCAGCCCTAACTGTTCTATGATTCTATGGAGTTGACAGTGGCTGCTTATAAAATTATTCTTAGAACTTGAAGTTTAATTCACTGCTGTATTTTTGTATAAATCAGTGCTCAAACCACATACCTCTGTGTTTTGTTTTGTTTTTTTAAACCTCAGATTCTCAGGTTGGTGTGTTACGTGTTTGGAATGTTTCACGTACAACACCTATAGAGAATTTTAAATTGAAGCAAACTGGTTTCCATGGCTTGCATGTGCTAAGTTCTCCTCCAAAACAAAAGTGTAAGTGTAATTTTGATTGTTATTCATTAAATGGTTGCAACTTAAGAAAATCTTATTTATGAGTCCAGATCAATCTCTGTAGTGTTGGTCAGCTATTTAGTTCTTAATTAAAGTATCTTCTGCTGCTAGTGGATTAGACAAATGCATAAAGGACAAGTACTTCATAAGGTCCTTCTTTAGTAGGCCAGGCTTCAAAGGGAATTCTCCATTTCTTTTGTTTTAAATCTTGTTAGAATACAAGCATTTTACTCTTTATAATTTTGCTTATTATTGTAATAAGAAATAATCTTCTCTCTTTGTCTTTTGCTTTATATTGTTAAGCATGTTCATCACAGTATCCTCCTAAAAATCACCATACATCTTCAACAAGTGAGGCTGTTCCTCCTCCAACTTTAACCCAAAACCAAGCATTTTCTCTTCCTCCTGGTCATACCGTCTGTTGCTTCATGGATGGTGGAGTGGGGCTTTATGACATGGGAGCCAAAAAGTGGGATTTCCTTAGAGATTTGGTATGGTTCATCTCTGTTTTCGAACAGAGAGTTTATTTGGCTTGTGCACTTTTTTCTAACAGCAAGAAAATGGAGAATGAAGTCTTTGCAGTACTGTAAAGCAGTTTCTATTGTTAAAAAAGAGCCCAAATTTCTAGGAAATAAAGTCACAGTTCTGAAGTTAAAAGTAATTTTTAATTGGAAGTTACTGAATTCTGTTGGAAGCATTCTGACAGCTTTTTTAAAAACAGAAATAAAGAGTTACAGACTTGTTTTTGGTTTGTTTATTTTTTTAACTGAAATTTTAGTTTGAAATTTTACTTCTCAGAAATTTTCTCTAATGGATTTTCTATAATTCAGAATAAAAGTTTGAGTCAAATCAGAGAGCTATATGGTGAATGCACGCAGTTTAACATTACAAAGAATTATTAAATTTACTTTGATCCTGAAATTCAGAAACAGGTTTAACATATATTAGATAACCCTTTTCTTCACCAGGCTTTTAGTTACTGAGGTTCTTGAGGATATTTCTCTTTTTCCCTTTTCACTGAAAAAAACCCTAAACAATTTTCAGCTGTACTCTCATATGCATTTGATTAGAGGCTGCTGGTTGGTTTTCTCTTTCCATTTTTATTGGCTTTCATCCTTTAAAGCAACTGAGGCTTAAAAAAATTCTTACATAATACTTCTGTTTCATATATTTATAAACTTAAATTCTACAAATGCATGTCTTGGAAAACAACCAATTGATACATTAAAACTCTGATGGATTGAAGTTTAAGCTGCAATAAAGCATAGACTGTATATAGAAACACAGAATATTCAGTGGGGCAGTAGACAACTTGTAGAACATGTTCATAATACAGAACTTTATTTTCCCAATCAGGTACTTTTAACCAAAAGGGAAAAACTGTGCCTGTTTTAAAAAATTAATTTTTTTTTTTGCTTAGTTTTTAAATTCAATATTTTAGCAACATATTTTCAACAGAAAATGCTAACAAGTTCCTGGCATTGCATTACCCTATGGTTTCAGGAAAGAATTTTTCTGGTTTTAATTATAACCTATGAAAGAGCATGTTGTAGTCTAAGTTATTTTATGCCTTTTATTTTGACTGATAAGCCTAAATATAAAAGGGTTTTGGAACTCTTAATTGACCTGACAATTAAATTAAATGCAATGTATTTTAGAGGTTGATCTAGAGTTAGACTTATGAAGAAAATCAAATGTAATAAAAATGGATTAAATATTTGTTTCATTTAAGGGACATGTTGAGACCATCTTTGATTGCAAATTCAAACCTGATAACCCTGATCTTCTTGCTACAGCTTCATTTGATGGCACAATAAAAGTTTGGGACATAAATACTTTATCAGCGGTTTATACATCTCCTGGTAATGAGGGGGTTATTTATTCCATTTCTTGGGCTCCAGGTAAGAATATTTTGCTGTATGTCTAAGTGTTCTTTGAATTAGCATTAACTGCAGAGTTTGTCATATAAAAATATTAGTTTTATATTGAAAGGGATCTTCTAAGGTTTAAACAAAACTTAATTATCTGTGAAACTAGTAGAATTCAGTTCTTCAGACCTTGCTGAAACTTACCCTTCTGAGTAATGCTCACAGTATTTCATACTCAGAATGGCGGGATGAAAATCACTGGAACATTTCTAACATGGCGTTATGCAGATGACAAAATGTCTTGCTTTGCATGAGAAGCAGCTACTTAAAGGAATTCAGATTATATTTTGTGCTAAAATAGTGGAACATATATGTACTTAGCTCTTTTTCTTCCTTCTTTGCGTAGGAGTCTAATCACTGAAGAACTCTGCTTTGACCTTATTAGAATAGGAAGTGTCTTTTCTGCAAAGCATCTACTTTTTCTTAGACAAATCACTGGACTCACTAGGAAATTTTGTTTTCAAAGCTGGTCTGTAACCCCCTTTGGAATACATGAAAATACACATCTGATAGTTGTCAATAGTTGACAATAAGTTGACTTCCCTATCATGTTTTATTTCTTTGGACAGCAGATGTATTTTTTTAAATCTAAATAATTCACCTTTCTCTTCTCACCTGCACTTTTAAACTCTTAAAAAATAATAACTGACAGAAGAAAAATATTGTGGTGGGAAGCTTAATATAGTCTGCATATGTTAAATAAATTTGCACTTTTTCATTTCACAGAGTCTCTTGCACTGTATATATATCTTCACAAATAATTTTTCTTGCTATATGGAAATCATGGCAATGTGAAATACAGTGCTTATTCTTGGCTATTTAATTTTGAAGTTTAAATTCAGTGTTTAGTTGTATCTCACACTGATGCAATAGTTTGCTGCAGGAGGGGTGTAGGTTTGTTGCTTTTGGTTTTTGTTTTTTGGTTTTTTTGGGGTTTTTTTGTTTTTTTTGGGGTTTTTTTGTTTGTTTTTTTGTTTTTTTTTTTTTTAAGATAAATTGGAAGTACATGCTCCAATTTTGTTCCTTAGTATCCTGTCCAAAAGCTCCTGTCCCTCCCAGCCAGAACGTTTGGTGCTTACTCCCAGACAGTTCCTCCCTTGTACTTTGTTCCTAATGTGTAATCTAATACATGCCCCAATTTGTTTGGTCTTAGACCTTTGAAAAAAGTGATTACTCCTTTTTTCTTTTTTCTCCCCCATCATTCTCCTACCTGAGTTTACTCCCATTTTGTATATTTACCTTGCTAGACTCCTCCTGCATAGATTGTCTTTTCTGCCTCTGAAGCTTCCAATAAAATAACAGTCAAAAGTTTCCTATAAATCTGCTATTTAATGAAAAGTATAGCTATATTGGGATAGAGAGTCACTGTAGTGAGGAGACTTTGGTGGCTTTTGGGTTAGACCTGAAATAAATTTTCCGGTTCTCACTGTGGAATTTTGTATTAAGATTTTCCCCCCTGTAGAGTGTGGTTGCAGATTCAGATACATTCTTGATGGTCTTAGGTGCAGCAGTGGTGCAAGATTAAGGAAACAAAATACTGTTAAGTGTTCTGTCTCATTTTTAGGATTTGTCTTTATATGTAGTGAACTTTAAAGGGAAATGCTCTAGTTGCTACAACTTTAGGCTTGAAACATTGAGGTTGCCTCTCTTGCAGGTTTAGTCATATGCATCAGGATCATTAATTTCTTACATGCAAGACTTTTAGCAGGCATTAAGACACTTTTTAAAGGAATACAATTTTTATTTGACCATTCCTCAAAATAGGAATGTAGAAAAACAGGTCAGGCTTTCACTGAAATTGATGTTTGTGACTTAGTAGCAAAAGCTAGCCTCATGTTCATGTACCATTTATGGCTTATGTTCATATTACATTTCTTCAATTTAAATCAAAACCATTGTTAAACAATCTTGTGATTTTATACTTATTGTAATATTTTATAAACATCTCTCTTTAAAGGAAATCTGAACTGCATAGCAGGTGGAACATCCAGAAATGGTGCCTTTATCTGGGATATTCGAAAAGGCAAAATAATAACCAGATTCAGTGAGGTAAGATGGGATTGCTACTTTTTTTGTCTATATGAAATGCAAGTTAGTCATTCCGTCTAGTGTCCATAAGTAGAGATGGCCAAAGTACATATATTTTTAAAAGGTGCTATAGAATAAAAGTCTATGGAGTTATCTAGGTGCCAGTTTACATGTGTGGCAGAAGTATTTTTACTTCCTTAGAATGGGTTTGTAATATGAGAGTGGTGAAGCACCAGATGGACTCCATTATCTTAAAATTGGTCTTGTAGGGATACGTGGCAAAAGCATTGCTAATTCCTTAACTGGGTAAACATATATGGACATACAGACTCAGCATCAATATTTTCAAACATAAGGGCCAGAAAAAACTTGAAGTACCTGAAGCCTAGATCAGTAAAGCTCCATTTTGCAGCACACTAAGCAATATGACTCATTCAGTGGCTTGCCTTGTATTACCTGAAATTTATCCAGGCATTTTTAAGTCCTGAAATAGTAGCATAATGTTTATTGGCAGAAGGAGTTGTGTAATATTATGCTGTAGTATTTTACACTATTTTGTGTATTCCTGGTATATAGCTGTGATCTTGAGATTATACAGACATCATCATTTAAGTATAGGATCCACATCAATGTACAAGGTATGCTCTTTAAGAAGAGAGGTGGAGGAGTGAGGAGAGGCCAGAAGCAGAAAACAAATATACCTACCTTCAGGAGTTCTGGCATTCTAATACTGATATTGGCATTTGTGCTAATAAATATCTTTTCTGTAATACTGGTCCTGATACACATCCCAATTAAGTTTTCTCATACCACAATTTTTCATGCCCATATGCTTCATTATTCCAACAAGTAACTAACCTTTATTCAGAATCACTGGATGATTAATGGTGTAAGGGACAACAGGGAGTCATTTGGTCCAACCTCCCTGCTCAAGCAGGGTCATCCTAGAACACTTTGCACAGGATTGCATCCAGATGGTTCTGGAATATCTCCCGAGAGGGAGACTCCCCAACCTCTCAGGACAGTTTGTTCCAGTGCTTGGTCACTTACACAATAGAGAAGTTCTTCCTCATGTTCAGTTGGAACTTCCTGTGCATCAGTTTCTGACCATTGCCCCTTGCTTGGCACTACTGAGCAGAGCCTGGCTCCATCCTCTTGGCACGCTCCCATCAGATACTGACAGACATTGATGATCGCCTCTCAGTTGTGACTTCTCAAGACTGAATAGGCCCAGCTCTCTCAGCCTTTTCTTCTAAGAGAAATAATTTTTGTTGACCCCTATTGAACCCTCTCCACAAGTTCCATATCTCTCTTTAACTGAGGACAAAACTGGGCACAATTCTGTCCTCACCAGGGCAGAATAGAAGAGCAGAATTACCTCTGTTGCCCTGCTGGAATGCTCTTCCTAATGCACCCCAGGACACCATTGGCCTCTTGGCCACAAGGTCACACTGCTGCTCATGGACAGCTTGGTGTGCACCAGAACTCCCACTCCACCCTCCTTCTCTACAGAGCTGCTTTCCAGTGGATCAGCCCCAGCCTGTACTGGTACATGAGTTTATTCTTCCCCAGCTGCAGGACCCTGCAATTGCCTTTGTTGAATTTCAGCTGGTTCCTCTCTGCACATCTCTCCAACCTGCCAAAGTCCCTCTGAAGGGCTGCACAGTACCCTGGGGTATTGGCCACTCCTCCCAGCTTTGTGTTGTCAGTCAGCTTGCTGAGGATGCATCTGCCCCTTTATCAAGTCATTGATGAACAACCTATACAATTCTGGGACTGGTATTGAATCTTGGGGGCCATCACTAGCGATAGGCTTCCAACTAGAGCCTGTGCCACTGATTACAACCCCTTGGGATCTGCTGTTCAGCCAGTTCTCCATCCACCTCACTGTCCACTCATCTGCTCCACACTTTATGAGTTTGACTATGAGGACTTTGTCAGAGACAGTGTTGAAATTCTTGATGAAGTCAAGGTGAGCAATACACACTGCTCTCCCCTCATCATCCCTTGAGGTGAGGCTAATTGGTTAGTAGTTCCCTGGGTCTTCCTCTTTCTTTTTGAAGACTGGAGTGACATTTGCTTTCTTACAGTTCTCACCTCAGACACCTCTCCAGATTGCCACAGCCTTCCTTTCAAAGATGGCCATGAGCAGCCTCGCTGTGGTGATACTCTTTCAGCATTTTTGGATGCATCCTGTCAGGGCCCATGGACCTTGGATGTCAAGTTTTTCTGTGTGTTCTCTAATCCAGTTCATCTTGATCAAAGGAAAGTCTTGCTTCCAGCATTCTTCTATGGTGGTCCCTTGAGTCAGAGACTCTTGAGAGCTGGTTCGGTCAGTGAAGACTGTTGTAAAGAAATTGTTCAATAACTCTGCCTTTTCTGCATCCTCTGCTACCAGGGTCCCCCCTCCATTTAGTAATGGGCCTACATTATCCTTGGTTTTCCTTTTGTTATTAATAGAGCTGAAGAAGGACTACTACTTCTCCTCTTCTCCTTGACATCCTTGGCCAGACTTAATTCCAGATGAGCCTTTGTGCTCCTTATCTCCTTTCTACTTATTCTGCCAGCCTCTCTGTATTAATTCCAAGGGGCCTGACCCTGCTTCTATCTCCTGTGCATTTCCTACGTCTGCTTAAGTAATGACAGAAGTTCTTTGATCATCCATGAAGATCTCTTGCCCCCTTTCTCCAATTTCTTGCTCATCGGGGTGCATTGTTTTGAGCCTGGAGGAAATGATCCTTGAATATCAACTGGTTCTCTTGGACCTTTTTCCCTGCAAGGTGTGTTCCCATGGAACTGTTCAAAGAAAATCCCTGAAGAGACTAAAGGTAGCTCTGCTCAAGTCCATGACTGTGTCTTACTTGCTGCCCTGCTTCCACCTTGCTTGATACTGAACTCCACAGTCTCAATAGTCATTACAGCCAAGGTTTCCCCCAACCTTTATATCTCTCACAAGGCTTTCTCTGTTTGTTAGTATGACATTCAAGCAGCACAAGATTCCTTGTGGGATCCTACACTACCTATGACAGGAAGTTGTCATTAACACTTTCCAGGAACCTCTTGGACTCTGTACTTACTGTGCTGCTTCTCCAGCAGATGTGAGGGTAGTTAAAGTGCCCCACAAGGACTAATGGCTGTGACTTTGGGGCTGCTTCTAGCTGGCTGTAGATGGCTTCATCCGCTTCTTTTTACCTATCAAGCAGCCTATAGCAAACACCCACAACAGTGTCTTTTATCCAAACCATAAGCTCTTGACTTGCCCATTATCCAGTCCAAGACAGAGCTTGATACATCCTAAGTGTTGCCTCACACAGGGGAAAATTCCACCAATGTGACTTTCTGGCCTGTCTTTCCTAAAAATTATGTAGCCTTTTGTGGCAACATTCCAGTCATGCAAGGTATCCCACTGTGTCTCTGTAATCACAGTGTAGTCAAAGGCTTGTGACTGCACACAGATCTCTAGTTCATCCAGTTTGTTCCCCATACTGCGTCTGTTGGGGTGCAGGCATGTAACAGAAGTATTTGATTCTGTCCATATCCCAGTGGAGGTGCAAAGGGATTCCCTGTAGTTCTGTCTAAAGACTACTTCTTTGGCTGCTTGTGCTTGCTCCAGGTACTGTCTCTTAAGCCTCCTAATGCTACTAGAGTGGTTTCTATGGTTCTCTCCTTCCCTACACATTCTCTCTGGCAAGCCTGGCCTTGGTCTCTTTCCAAACTAGTTTAAAGCTCTTGCAGTGAGCCCTGTGAACTCCTGAACTAAGATCCTTTTTGTCTTTGGAGACAGCTGAACCCCGTTTGTTGCCACCAGGCTTGGTGTTGTATAAACTGACCCATGATCAAAACCCCCAAAACCGTGCTGGTAGCACCAGCATCAAGTCTAGTTGTTCATCTGCATGATCTTCCTCTTTCTTGCCACATCATTCCCTGCAACTGGCAGGACAGAAGAGAACACAACTTGTGCTTCACATCCCTCAAGTTGTTGCCTCAAGGCCCAAAGGCCCCTCTTGTTGGTCCACAGTGTTGTTTGTTTAACATTCAGGTTTATATAGTTACAGATTGCTCATTCTTCATCTTGCCCCAGTATTGTCTCTTAGATCCTGGAGGCTATAATGGTTTTACTACATATCTCCATAGTCCCAATGTTTTGGACTTGGATTCTCAAACATCCAGCTTATATTGGGTACTCATTATCTTGTGGTTTTGTACAGTATACTGTACTGGGAGAAAAGGACTGAAGACCATAGGAGAATAAAGTAAAAAAGATGAGTCAATAGATGAGAGAAAAAGGGGTGAATTATTTCTTATTGATAGGTATTTTGCATTTTTTGAAGCATGGAAAGAATGGAATCTTCTGCATTGCCTGGAGTCATAAAGATTCCAAAAGAATAGCAACCTGCAGCAGTGATGGATTTTGGTGAGTGTTATTGGAAGAAAACAAATGGCTAAATGCACTTCTCGAATCCATAAATTTTGACAGTACTCTCAGTTAATTTAAAAACTTTTCTTACTGGACAAAACTTAAATTCTATTACTCTTCTGTACTTGTTAGGGTACATTTTTCATGATTTAAAAAAAAATAAAGGAAATGTTTTCAATAGGAATAGTGTCTAAGACACACTGATAGTGAAATTAAATAGTGATTTTTATTTGGACAAGAATATCCTTCTAGGTTTCTTATCTGTAGAGGACACTTTTCAAAAGATATCCAACTTTACTTGTCTTAATTTTAAAATTTTATTTAGTTTGTTGTTTCAAGGACTAAAAAGTATTATTTTAGAATTAAATAACCACAAGTGCACTATCACAAGAGTGTAATACCCCCTTTCTAAAAATGCATGAATGTCCATTGAAACCAATTTTGCAAATATTGTTTTCAGTACATCTTAAAAATCTTTCTTCATTTGTTTCCTCTGCTACCTGTGTCATTCCAGCTTGAACATAATGGGCAGAAATTTTAGAAAATAATTTTCTTTTTAATTCATAAAGATCTATTTGTACCTTAAAGCCATGACTACAGCTTTGATTCTGGGCTATGAGATCCTTTCAAGAAATATGTACCACAGTGAACATCTTTAAAGCCCCTCTGAAGAAACATAGATAACTGAAGTGAAGTTAGATGTTGTGCAATCAACATCCAGTTAAATGTTGTGATTGACGGGCTGATATTGTTTGTGACTGTTTCTCCGATTCTTTGTGTACACATTTTTGCTCTCTGGTTTATTTGCACAGAATAAAACCTAATTTTTGATAGCCTACCCAGAATGTATTTTTCCTTATAATATCACATTGTAATTGTTTTCAGTATTATTCGAACCATTGATGGCAATGTTCTTCACAAGTACAAACATCCAGCTGCAGTGTTTGGCTGTGATTGGAGTCAAAACAACAAGTAAGTAAAAATTAACCCAAAGAATTGACAACATTTACTATTTAAATTGATTACCAGTAAAGTAACACAAATTTATGTAGAATGTGATGTTCACTGTGATAGTTAAACACTGAAAATATCTATTCCAAAGTAGGTTATGCCTATTGCAGCTCTCTCTTCCCAGTAGTATATTTCATTGACTACCATGAACTTTCTTAACTTTCAAAGGAGGATCATTTCATATTGATGAGAAAAAAAAATTATCTAGCTGAATATATAATGAGGGAGAAGGGGGGGGGAAGACATTCAATACCAGGAAAGAGAGGTCTAGAGGTGTAGATTGGTGTCCTTGAAATGACTGCTAAGGTGAAAATGTAGCAGTTATTTCAAGGACACCAATCTACACCTCTAGACCTTTGTGATTACATGTAAATTTTGTAGATAATTCTTAATAATGAATGAGAACTTTTTGCAAAAAAAAAAAATTCTAGTAATTTGATTTAATCATAGTTGTGTATTGGGTGCACAGTCAGACAAGTGCAAATATGTTCCCCATTGCAACTAAAGGATCTTTATCAGGTTTATTCTTATTTAGTTTTTTTTATCAGATTATCAATAGTTACATCTTGAAGAGATGAAGGAGAAGCAAAAAAAATGCTATTTCAAAAAATAATTGCAAATTGCACATCTATTTTGTTTAAATTTAAAGAAGCATTTATCATCTCTGTGACCAAGGATTTTGCTGTTTTTATTTTGCAGAGATATGATAGCTACTGGTTGTGAGGATAAAAATGTTCGTGTTTACTACTTGGCAACCAGCTCTGATCAACCACTGAAAGTTTTTACTGGGCATACTGCAAAGGTGTTTCATGTACGGTGGTCTCCTCTCAGAGAAGGAATCCTCTGCAGTGGCTCTGATGATGGGTGAGTATTTCTGAATGGTTAGAAAACTTAAAACTCAAGCAGGACTATTGGAGAAACTTACATCTTTGCTTGTAATGGTGTTGTCAATACTTAATAATCTAAATCCCTGTTTTGTTCAGATACAGGTTTTAGCTCTGCTCTTAGCTTTATGTAGTATTTGGACTGCAGGATCATTATCTAAAATAGTCACAACTGCTGCAGTAGTGCAAGTTTCAATATGCTTTTTCAAAAGTAGGCTCAGTGCTTGATACTGTTAGTGTGAGGAATAGCACAAGGAGGATACCGCATGCTTACATTACATCTAAAGAAACAGGTGCAAGACCTGCCCTTATTTGATATTTTTCAACAGTGTACTTAAGTAGAATCTGCAGAGAATTTTAATGAGTATTGTATCTTTCTGGTTTTTTGTTTGATGCCATTGCTTTTGAGGGAGGGCACATCAGTCCATGGTAAGCAGAAAGAAGCATTTTTCTATGATTCTAAGCCACTTCCCTGCAGAATATACAAGATATTTTTGTAAAGTTTGGAGTGTTGGCTTCTATTGCTTTCCCATTATCGTTCATTACAGGTTTATGTTTGAAGCAAAATCTATTAGTTCATAGTGCAATGATTCATGACAAAAGACAACCTGATAGCAATTTTCTTGACAATAAAATACATTGAAGAGGACCGGCTCTAGAATTGAACCATGATGAGCATTGCTGCTGACCAGTTGCCAGCCAGATGTAGCCCCTTTCACTACAACTCTTTGAGCCCTGTTGTGATGCAAATAAATATTCTGATAAATTTGAAGTTTAAAATATTGCTTTAGTAGAGAGATAATTATATTTCAATAAGTGATGGGATGTAAATTGTTCTCTTTTATCCTGTTTCAGTACCGTTCGGATATGGGATTATACACAAGATGCTTGTATAAATGTTCTTAGTGGACATACAGCTCCAGTACGGGGACTGATGTGGAATCCTGAAATTCCTTACCTTCTAATATCTGGCAGTTGGGACTATACAATTCGAGTCTGGGACACAAGAGATGGAACATGTTTGGACACAGTTTATGATCATGGTGCAGATGTGTATGGTAATATCTTTTAAATTTTGTTTTATTTCTGTATTGAAATGCATTCTAATAGGGTTTGAAATTTATAAAGTAATTTAATCAAAGAGGTTATTACATAAACTTATTTCACTATATTTTAAAATATTCCCTCTGCTAGGATTAACGTGTCATCCTAGTCGTCCATTTACGATGGCATCTTGCTCTCGTGATTCCACTGTGAGACTCTGGTCATTGACACCTCTTATAAACCCTCTACAAATAAATATCATAACAGACAGATGTTGGGATGATATTGTCGGCAATACAGGTAAGCAAATTGTATAAGCCATTGTTTTAATTTTCTTTATGTTAATATTCTTATTCCTTTGGTTGTTTTGTATTTTAATTTCATATATAAATCTTTGTGTGTGTTAGATCGCGCCGTGGAGTCTGGAGCTCCTCCTTTGCTGTGTGGTAAAGTTTCCAGGGATATTAAACAAGAATTGGAAAAATTGTCAGGAAGTCTTCAAGGAAAAAAACTAAGGTGGTTTTCAGAATTTTTTTCAGTAAGTATTCTGCCAAATTAGGGATGTTGTTAATGCACATGACTTTCTTTTCTGAAGTCAGAATCTAAAATTGAGATTTCTTTTTTATCTACCATTTTTTTCTCTCTTTCTTGAAGGAAGCCTAGAAAATAGACAGAAATAAGTTTATTTCTGACCAGGTCAGCATATAAAAGTGTCCACGATTCAATTGTTTGTCAGTTGTGAAAAACAAATTTCACTAATTTAGCTTTTCAAAAAATAAATCAGCTTTTTGTAAAGTTAAATTAGTGAAATAATATAATTTTCTATAGGAAAGGTTAATTTGACAGCAATTTGCTATTGAAGAAAATGAAATTATGTGCTTAATCAAACTGCATTAGAGTTCTTATTAAAAGAACACCTTTATTACTGACAAGTTTTTAACTGCCCTGTGTCTGTGCCCAAACTGCTTTTTATGTTTTAGGAACTGTAGATCCAGATGACCTGTGCCTCAGTATCCATCTACTGCCTTTTCTCCATTGCATAGTAATATTTTCTATAAATTGCTGCAGCTTCTCAGTGCAAATGAGTTAAAAAATATGGGTTCCTTTAAATTCTTACCTGAATAGAAGCTGTACTTGAGGTTCAGCAAAGACAAAATTACTTGGAACTACAGGTTCTACTACTACTGAAACTTGTGTCCAATACTGTTGTAATTTAAATCAAAACACTGTTCTAAAAAGACCTAGTTCATCCAAAGTATTTGGTTTGAGTTCTACCTAAATTGAAGTGGATAACGGAGAAATGATGAAACAATCTTTCTCAATTTCAAAATGAGACATTTTCTCTTTTGTTAAAAATATATTTATGGAATTCTTTGTTTTATAGAAGTTATAAATCTTGATTTCCCTTGTTGATTTGACAGTAAAACTGTTTTAAGAATACTAGAATTTTCCAAGAACAAAAGTTTTTTGATCAGGTATGGGCTGTGCTTTTTGACTCCAGAAAAGGAGGTATTGTGCTAAACTATGAGGAATCTGATTGGAGTTTTAGGGGAGAGAAAAAAGAGAGAGTAGTCTCTTTTATTATTTTTTTGGGGAGGGGCAGGGGGGGAAGCGGGGAGGGAGATTGCGTGGTTGAGGTTTCCCTAGTAGGATTTATACATTTTCCCAGCTCAGAAATAATTTGACTTCTAAACTTGTGATCCTGTTATTCTTAGAAAAGCTTCTTTAGGTCAAAGGTTTGACGACTTTTTTAAGCTTTTGAATACTCACTCTCTTCCAGACTTCATTCAGTGTTAAACTGTTGTCCTGTTTCTACAGAAGGATTGATTCAAAGGCTAGACCAATCGAAATGCTTAAAATTTATTTAAAAACAATATTTTGTGCATATACCGTTATACTATATGTGTCTATTTTAAGATTTAATATTAAGATAGTAAACCAGGTTGTGACAGTGAAGCCTTGAAGTTCTTTTCTACCTGGCCCATGCCTTTGCTTTACAGAAAGTAGTAAGGAAGTCCTGGGTCAGCTCCTGCATGGCAGCAGCTGACTGTTGGTTTGTGCCAGTAGTAGACACAAGATGGCTTGCATTTATTTGAGAGCAAACGGGAAAACTAATGGTGAGCCCTCAGCTATGTCCACACATAACCAAATAGGTTCATGGATCTCACTGTATCTTTACAGCCTTCAAGAAGACTGAAGGACTGGTAATCTCTTGAACTAACTCATGTTTTCATAATAAAGGTTCTAATATTGGAATTGTCTGAAATTGTATTTCTTGGAGTTGTCTGACAAATGTTTTCCAATATCTTTATAAGTTCAAGTTTCTCTCTTGAACATAACTGTAATAAAACTCTTCTTCCCTAACAATTTTAGCCTCCAGGAGGCAGCAAAAATTTGTGGGATTTGGTTGCTGTAATAAAGGGACAGGATGACAGTTTGCTTCCACAAAACTACTGCAAAGGAATTATGCATATGAAACACCTGATTAGATTTAGACTGGTAAGTGAAGCACAAACAGTATGTGAAAATGGTTGTTAGTCCATGTAGTATTTCACTATTTAAAAATAACACTCAATGCTTTACAAAGGGTCACAATTTCATATCCAAAGATATTTGTGCAATACCGGTTCTTCACTGCAATACTAGTCTGTTACAATTGCATCTAGCTGAGTCTGTGTGACTTCATGCATACTCAGTGTTAAAATGCTAGGTTATAGTTATTAACTAGAAAAGCAATTTCAAAACAAAATCAATTGCAAACAATCATCACTACAGTTTCAGCTATGAAGTGATTTGTCTTGCCTATTATATACACTGTACTTTCATGTTCAGTAAAGTCAAATTACTTATTTGTATATATGAAGTGTGTAGCTATGTTCAGATGTAAAGACAGGGGAATTCATGTCTGAAAATGGGGGAGTCATCAGAAATATGTTCTGTACCTCTCTGTAAGAAGGAATGGCAAGAAACTGTCCTTAATACAGATACACAGCTTAAGAGTGACTTGGAGGATTACTAAAGAATCCCATACTCCAATGACTGGATTGTAAATAGAGGAAAGATGATCTACTGGTATGGATCAGGAAATGCACTTGCCATCCTCAGGGCTAATACTTGCCAGGTATCACCTGTTTTTGCTGTAAAATCGCAGACTTTTTTAGTGTGTCCTACGTTCCTTGTGACTCTCAAGTGATTAAGTTTATTAGTGTTGTTAACTGTAATAATAGCAGCTGCTCTGCAAATCCTATGAAGCTCTGTGTGTCCATGTGTCCGAAAACCAGTTTTCTCAGCCAGTTGGCCTGAGAAGACATTAAATCTTGATTTGTGCAGTGCCAACAGTCTGTTTACCCCTGCAAAATTATTTCATGCATTTATAACTTCAGTGACCTAGAGTAACTACAGTAATTGCTGGTCATTCTGTGGACCTGGATTAAGTGTTCATATTAATTAAAAGCATTTTTTCCCCTTCTTGCTGACTCAAAATCTTGTTTGAAATCTTTAAGAGAAAGTATGGGATAGGGTAATGCTGCCTGCTTATTAAGGACTGCTAATATTCTCTTTTCCTTAGGAAACTAAATAATGGCACTGCAGCACCTATACATTTCAGGAAGAAGGAAGGATGTATAGCAACTCTGTTTTTTCTGGTCTTAGTAAACAGAGAGGATGCATTGATGACTTTAGCATGAAAATAATAAAAACTTTAGAGGTGCTGAGGAAAAAAAAATGTAGTATGTTTTTTTAAAAAAATAGATTCTTGAGAGCTGCCATTGGCCTACGTGGCAGTTTACTTTGGGGAAGAATGTTCAAAATTCATTCTCCATCTTCCATATACGGTTCTGCAAAGTCATGAATAGCCCAATCCCACTATTGTGCATTGAACATAGAATTCAACTGAGAATTCTTGAAATGGGAATCTCCCTTTGTTTTGTTTTGTTTTTTTCCCTGTACATATAATTCTGTTGCAGCTTGTTTCTCAGGCTCTGCCAGATAAAGAAATTAAGTCTTGTCTTCGCAACTAATATAAAAATTGCAGAAGTTGGGAATATAAATAATTTCTTGGCTATAAGGTTACTGGGACATGACAGATCAGATCACAGAACTTGTTGTCTACCAGTTAAGCCTACTGTCTTTGTTATTTCTTTGTGTGGACATCATTATAATGGAGAACTTTCAGCTCTCTATGGTTTATGTTCACAAATAGATTTTTTTTAAGTTTCAAAATATCAAGATTTTTATGAGGGACATCTGGATGAATTACCATTATATATGAGAATAAAAAAAATAAATTATTATTGGAAGATAATAAATGAAAATGTATATGCACAATGAAACACTAACACATTTACTTTAACAACGTAAATATAGTTCACTGTAATCTCATTGAAATCTCTTTCAATTAGCCTTTTTGCTAAAGCATGTTTTTCTTAAATTATAACCATTATATTCTGCTGTAATATTTACCAATAGTTCATTCCTAAGGAAATTTTTTTCATCACAGAAAACTTCTAAATCTTTTTTTTTTCTTTCCCTCAGTCCAAGGCACAAGAACTGACAACAGTAAAGATGTCTAAATTTGGAGGTGGTATTGGTGCACCCAGCAAAGAGGAAAGGCTCAAAGAAGCTGCAGAAATACATTTAAGATTAGGACAAATTCAGCGATATTGTGAGCTAATGGTAGAACTTGGAGAGGTAAAATATCAGAACACTATTGAAGAATAAAAACTTATTGAAGTTTCTGAAAAACCAGCTACCCTAGCAAAGATGGGGAAGCAATGAATGGATCACAAGTCCCCAGAAAAATAATCTTGTTCCACTTATTTTTAACATATGCAGTCTGAACCATAACTCATTCCTTATTTAACTTTGACAAATATGTTTTTAATGGAAGTAAAGTAGTTTAAAATACTAGTTTACACTAGTTTAAAATATGGCTGCTTCTCAAATGGAAATTATCATGTTAAATGTATTATTACTTTCTTCTAGTGGGACAAAGCTCTCTCAGTTGCACCTGGTGTATCAATGAAATATTGGAGGAAGTTAATGCAAAGGTAAGTTAACTAAAATATGATGGCAAATTGTAGCTTCAGTTCATAACAGAACTCAGACAAGTAGGAAGGATGGATACTATTACCAGATACAGTTGTCTTTTGTTCCAGCATTCTAGTGATGTTACTTTTTCTTCAGTAAGCTTTGAGATAGAACTGTGGAGAATTTCAATAATCTTGTGTACAAGAATCAAAGGGTTGAAAATAAATTGCAACTTTATAAACTCTTTAAGTGCAGTATTCACACTTTGTAAATCTGGAAAGGCAGATGGGTTTCAGTGAACTTTATTTGGTTTCATCTAACACCTACACCATGTAGTTGACTTAAGTGATTGTTCATATATATGGTTCCTTCTTGTTTATTTATTAATTTGTTTAATTAGGAGAGCGGATCAGTTAATTCAGGAAGAAAATGATGATGTCATCCCATACTGTATAGCTATTGGAGATGTGAAGAAACTGGTTTCATTCTTTACTTCAAGAGGTCAGCTTAAAGAGGCTCTACTTGTTGCACAGGTATTACTATACATATATACCAGTGCGGGAGATGTATTTAGCTCTTAGCTTTTAAGTCAGAATGTGACATGAACATTTAAAAGGCAAAATAGCTGAATAATGATGCCCTAGTCTTTACTTCCATATGGTATTGACCAGTTTTTATACAGAAATCACAAGAAGGAGGTACCTCATGTTTACAGATTTAAAGCCTGATTCTTCTAAACTGCAACAAATGACCATAATGTAAACCAATGTGTTCAATTTCAATTTAAATGGAACCTGATTTTCAGCAGCTGGTATTGTCCTTAACATCAAATTCATGTAGAATTTGATTTCTCATTAATTTCTACTGAGAAATCATCTGTAGGTTTTAGCTAAATAATGTACAGAATGTAGCTTTGACACATGCTTAGATAGTTTCGAACTATAGTTCAAACTGTAGCGTTTGAGCTTTAAAGCAAGTTAAAGCTCCAGAAAGATCTTAATTTTTCATGTAAGAGAGGTATTGCACAGCTACTACAATTCACAGAATAGTCTGTCTCAAAGGTTTAATAAGATAATAATGAGTAACAAAATGCCAGGATTTACCTTCCTTGGTAACTGAGCCTTGAGGTTTAATGCTGTTATCCCAGCTGCATCTTCAAGCATGTGAAAGAATTTCAAAAAATTCACAGAATCAATTAGGTTGGAAAAGATCTCTGAGGTCACTGAGTCCATCCCTTTACCAACCACCACTTTGTCAACTGATTTCATTTTAACCCACACTCATCTCTTTCTATTTAATGTTAGAAATAAATTCTTGTAAGATACAAAGAAAAGTTCACCTTAAGCCACCATATGCCAAATCTTTCCAGATTTGCTGGTATACCTGCTGAGCAGTATCTATGGACTTCATCCTTCCCTCAGAGCTGCTTGCTACTTGCGGTGTAAAAATCAAGGTTGTAGCCTTCACCATCCATTATATCCAAATGCTGAAGAATTCTGCACCAATGCATAGGAAGGAAGAAGTCTCTTGCTTCAGTAGAATTCCTTATGGCTAGATAAAACTAGACTAAGATTTAGCTGTGAATAAGTTAATTAGTTTATACATTAAAATATTTTCCTTTTTATAACTGGGCTTTAGAATGATTTTTATATATCTTAGATTATTTTTATTGTTATTGAAAAATTTCATTCATCTTCAGTTTGAATTCTGCATTAATTAATCTACATTTTATTCACTTCCAGGCAGCTTGTGAAGGAAATATACAGATGTTGACACTCTCCACAACAAGTGGAACTTCAAATTCTGCTGGAAACAATACAGATGATTATAATGAGTAACTTGTTCTAGTTTATAACTATAAAACTCATATTACTACAGAGTGTAAAGTCATTAACGGTGATAAAGCATAGTAGTTTAATTTGGCATCAGCAATGTAGTGTTCAACAAAATATTGCATCTTGTAGTACTTAGTTAGTGGAGTTACTAACTACCTGATGCTACACTTATTTCCCTATTGTGCCTCCTGGCACAAAATGGATTTTTCATATGTGTGCATTATAATTTTAAATGTCCTTTTCTTTTGCTCAATATGTAAGTTGCATTCCTGTGCACTAAAATATATAGCATATTAACTGAGAACTTTTGGTAAGATTTAGCATTAACAAGTATCTGTGATCCCCTGTTATTACACACAATCTCCCCCTGAAGCTTTGCTCTTTGTCATAAGTGAAGGTTCTGATAATGTAAAATAAAAAACAAACTGAGAGAGTAGGTTTAGATTAGATATTAGGAAAAAATTCTTTACTCTGAGGCACTGCAACTGGTTGCCCAGAGAAGCTGTGGCTGCCCCATCTCTGGAAGTGTTCAAGATCAGGTTGGATGAGGCCCTGAGTAACCCAGTCTAGAGGAAGACATCCCTGCCCATGGCAGGGGGCTTGGAACAGAATGATCTTTACGGTTCCTTCCAACATGAGCCATTTTGTGATTCTCATTGTCCATGTCCATAAAAAAAAAACAAATATGCACCTTGCATTGCCTAGAACAGCACTCAAAAACCTGAATTACATTATCAAGTTATAGTTGTAGTTAAAGAAAAATAGTTTGGAGGCTGTGTAGTTACTTCATTTACATAAGCAGTTTTTGAGCAATTAGAGAAGTACTAGTGCAGAGTTTACAGGTACAGATTGGATATCCAGGTATTTGATTTTCCTTCTGTCAATCTGAAGAGACATTTCCTACTGATATAAACTTTGGGAAACTGACCCACCTTAGTATGTACCAACATAAGCAGTGGATGAACCTCAAACAGATTGCATTTTTCAAGCTAGTAGCGTCATTATCTGTGAGCCAAATATAGCAACTTTTAGGGTACAGAAGCAAATGTGGTGAATTACATAAATTAAGACCCAAGGCACTCCAACCTTAAAGTGACCTTGTGGAATTTCTTTTTTGTTCTTTCAGTCTTCTGCAGAAGGTCAGTAAAGAACTGGCAGATTGGTATTTCCAGGATGGCCGTGCAGTGCTTGCAGCATGTTGTCATTTGGCTGTCGAAAATATAGAGGTAATTTTTTTTTCTTTAACAATGAAAAAGCCGATACTTACTTCCTTTTTACATCTCTACACATGTTTTAAAATGTATGTATCATATTCTAAAATGGTATTTGGCATTTGATTTTTCTATACTTATGCAAAGTTAGATAGTTATAGTATTAAAGTTAGTAGCAGAACTCCCTTGATTCTGTTAAATTCAAGGTCTCTCTCATGCACAGAAGGTAGCATGTTGCTGCTGAATTTTATTTATAACATCTTGTTATATTAGACAAGGTAAGATACTTAAGTACCTTGGATATATACATCTAAGTGTTACTGTTTATGGTGACCCAAAATACCCATTCAAAACTGGAAGTTATTGTGCTAAAGAAGGTGCAATCATCCACCTTGAAGAATTTGCAGTCTAAATGAAGAAGTAAATAGGAAAAGAAAACCCCATGCCTCAGTACAAAAAATAGAACTGACATGTAGGAAACATTTTATTATGTTTTTTGTTTGCTTGTAGTTTTACAAATTGTTTCTTTTCCTCATTTTAGCTGGATTTTGTTGTTAGCTTAACATGTTTTTCCTCCTCTATCCCCCCAAAAAGTATAATTTCTTCCCAAAGAGAAATTGAGAATCAGTAAATTCCGATATTTCTAAACAGGCATATTTGAAGTTGTTGTGTAATCTCATAGGGTTTGACATTCTGCTATGCCTATCAGTAACTGTGCTCAGAGAGAGTAAGAACAGGACAATCCTTCCTGTTTTCTGGGGGTTTTGAGTCTCCTTTTATTGAAAGAAAGGGGGAAATATAAACTCTGAATGCTAGTGTCCTTAAGATTAGATCGAATTCCTAGCATGCATTTTAGGTATTGTATTTATGTGATCTCTTCAGTTGAATAAAGGAAGATACTGCTAAAGGAAATCTGTTTGGTTGTTTAAAAGCACATTAACAAATGGTGCACAATTATTTACTCATTCGAGAGACCCAAAATATATAAAATTGGGTTTAACTATTGCATATTTTGTCCTTCTGTAAAAAGTGTCTTAAGTGAATGTCGTATGCTCAACACGATGAATGGCCAAAACTGCTTCTGTCCTTTAATGATATAATTTTTTCATTGAGCAAGCTTGCGATGGCAAACCTGATTCGTGGAAATGAACTGGAGCTGGCAATCAGTGTGGGTACTGTCTTAGGAGAAAGTGCAGCACCAGCAACACATTATGCCCTAGAATTACTAGCAAGAAAATGTATGGCAGTAATAACATGGTAAGAATTTCTTAATCCAAAGAAGATTTTTAAATTTTCTGCCTGACAAAGCAATCAAGTTGTGTCATTGTGAAACTTTTGTAGAGATCAAACCACAATGGGAAAGGAGAATAAAAATTGCTGCTTGAATAAGGATTGCTGTATTAGACCTTTGAAGTACAGGGTATGCAAATATTCTGCTTTAATCTCAAAATATATTCTGTATGCATTGTAAATGAGAAAGGAGTCATTGTCAAAGTATGAAACCCACTGAAAAAAACACCCTAGATACTTGGGCAATAGGTAGCTTATGAAGTCCTAGTTTTTACTGAGTAAAAAGAACTGCTTCAAAAAAAGTAAGGCTGGAACTGAGTTAAAAAGTCAAAAGGAACAGCTCAAGTAGGATATGTGAAGTGATTTTTAAGTACTTGATTGAAAAATATAAAACTATGAGTCTGAGGAGTTATCTTCTATTGGTATTAGGAACACAAGACTCATGCAATGATTTAAGGATGAAACAAGAATGCTATTTAGTTCCGCATGAGTAACTTCTCTCATGCATATAGGAGAAGCCTTCTGTGGCAAATTTTCTTTTCCTCATTGTAGTGGTTTTACTTTGAAAAAATCAGCTTCTTGTTTTTCTGTCTAACAATGAAAAAGCAGAAAACCTTTCTAAGGTATATTTGGCAGCTGTATAACTGGTTTGTAATTAACATTTCACAAAAAGTATGTACTTAAACTGTTAAAGAGCAGTTTTTCTTCTACAGTTAGTATTTGCTAATGTATTTAGAGGTAGTCTGAGAGAAACATAGTGGAACTCCTCTACATTAGAGAGGAGATTAGAACATTAGAATATTTAGCTTTCATTAGACAATGAAGCATTCTAGGAAAAGATAAAATAAGAACCTGGTGACTTTCTGCTTTCATTTTGCAGTGGTTTAGCATGTCTGCATTGCACCAGTCTTAATAGGGTTGTTTTGGCAACTCCATCTGCAGCTTTTAAGGTTTCTGAAGCTCTTTCATTGTTAAGGGTGATTTTTATGTAGCCTCCAATAGGAAGTACTGGAGTTAAAGAAACAGTGCATATTTTTTCCAGTTCATAGCAAAAGCTTGTTCTGATCTCAGGGCTGTAATTACTGCTTATAATTGTATGGCATCTATGTTTATGTCCACAAAGGTGCTGTAAACTTATAGCATGTGTATACACTGAAGTCTACATGGTGATAAAGTCTGTACGTGATAAAATTTTAAAGTGATGTACTGCATATTGCCCAAGTATATATCTGGACTTTTAAATGGGTTTCACACACTATGCTGAATACCTTGCAATCCTGGATTCTGATTTTCAGCCTTTCAGCATATTTTTTATATTCTGTAGGAAAAGATCAGAGATTCATGAATCTCTTTGTTTTGTAATAAAGGGATTTTCACACAGCATAATCCCCTTGGTTAACTGCACTCATAAGATCGTGTATGGGGAAGGTGGAGTTCAAGGGTCTCTGATATTTGAAGGACTCCCTTCTTAAATTTACTGGTTGTTATGGTTAGGGATATCCATCAGTTGGAAACATTTCACTGTAGTGAAACACTTTGTTGTAGACAGCAAAAGGAATACCAGAAGGATCCTGATGAATTAATAAAGCAATCAGTTACTGAATGGTGGAATGTTTCTTGAGTTTTTGTTGGTTGTTTTTAGAAATGCTCTAAAATATAAAATCAAGCAAAAAAAATCACCAAAAAACCCCCTAAACATTTATGCACTTTCCCAAATCTAAAGCCTTGAGAAAATCTGTGAATGTTTAAGGAAACATTTTTGTTTGTATTTAACACCTAAATATTGTCAGAAGTAACTTTCTACTGTTCAAAAAGCTAGTCATATTTTACCTGAGATACTGAATTCTGCATATACAAACTCAGCCACCTTGTTTTGGTCTTTATACCAACAGTGTTTTCAGTTTAATTCTTAAAAATCATTCCAGTTTCTTAGAATCTCTGGATTCTTAAAAATCATTCCATGTAGCACAATTTGTAGGCCATTATCTTCTTTTAATTACTTTTTTTCAAATGAATATTGGATTTCAGTTTTTTGACAAGAAAATTTCTAATCACTTAAAAAATGTTTAAATTGCTTATGAAGATTAGTACATATAAGTAAGTGATCTTGAATATAACTTAAGAACTTGTGAAATATCCTAGATTCTGGAAGAATGTTTCTGTAACTTGGAAAAGTAGCTGTTGCACAGTAATGCTATCACATATTTTCTAAAGATCTTTTGGCATGAATTTCTTTATGTTATCAAAAGGCATAAAATAGAAAGCTATTTTTTTTTGCTGTTGAAGTCAGTTGCCCTGACCCATAAATTTGCTGCTGTAGTTTAATTATTTTCTATCAGATATTTTCTCTGTAAATTAATGCAAAATTTTTTTCAATACTGTTTCAATGTCTTTCTTTTAGCTTCCCATCACTTGGATACAGGTATTTTACTTTTTTGGAGAAAGTTTAAGCTTATTTTTTCCCTCATTAAAGTCACAAGCTTTTCAAATTTCTCTAAGTGTCCTAATTTTTAATTGCTATTAATACATGAAAGTGAGATAGAAAGCAGTTGCAAATATTGGATAATATCTTACTTAACCATTTTTAAGCTAAGGACCACATTCTGAAAATCCAGAGGTAATCAGTAGGATTTTTTGCCTTACAGAGGGGCAAGTCAATCTTGAGGCTCACAGGAGAAATGATGTCTGCTTGAATAGAAGAGTCAGAGAATAAGCAGTTCTTTAAACTTGAACAGAACGATTTCCAAATAATTTCCTAATATTATACATTCCCTTTATCTGTTTGTTGTGTGAAGGATAGGGTAACAAATGGTAAAAAGTTTAGGAAAATGTAAGAAATGTCAGTTTGCTCAAACAGTATTCCTTTGAGAAGGATAAAAATAGGTATCACATTTTTTCCCATATAATCTCTCTATTTCTATGTCGCATGAGCACCAGTCCATTCTGGATGACCGAGAGATGTCCTATGTTGATGTCATGAAGCTTTAGAAACCTGGAATTTTGAGGATGGCTTCATGACACAGAACCACGTTATCATCTTTTCTTATCTCATATTGGAATGTTCCTATTCTCCTTTCCCATCCCTGCTCACAAATTCTTCCATTTCACTTTGAGATAGTTCTGAGGCTTAAGAATTGCACAACTATTTAATTCAACCAACTGAAGCAACAGAACATTAATGAATGACCTTCCCAGTAAGATGAATAATTAAGCCTCATTTATTGAACAAAACTATTCTTGATACTGAGCTTGCTTCTGCACTTCTCTGGAAATAGTATTTTTTCAGCAATCTCTTCTTCTATTAGGAATGTAAAGGGAAAATAGCTTCCCTCTATTAAAAACCATCAAGAGTAATTATATGTCATCTTTTGTTTGTGCAGGGATTTAGCAGTTGATCTTCTTATGATGATTCCTGATAATAAACTGCAGTTAGTGAAACTATGTGCTTTTTATCCTGGATGCACAGCAGAAATAAATGACCTGCATGAAAAGGTACAATGTAAAAGAATTTACCTGAATCTAATAAGGTTTTGTATTGATTCATTTACTAATTTCAAAAAACATAAGGCCATATAAAACCACAGGATGAATTTGACTTTCACATCTTTTATGTAACATATTCTTTTCTTCTCTATTAATCTTTGTTGACTTTATCTTCAGTATTGTACAATAAATTTAGTTCTTAATTTCTATCCTTTAGTGCACTCTTTCCCTGACACGTTACTTTCTGAAGTAGCTTATGATCTTCAGAATTACCTGTCAGTACAATTTATAACCTACTAGATGTGCAGCCTAATCATGTTTTGGCAGATCAACTTTCTGTAGTCTGAATTGTTTTATATTTTACGCCTGTTATGTCCCCCATAAATGTCCCCTTTCCTCTTCAGCAGCAGAAGGGTCTGCTTTGGTTGCTCTCCCTTAGGGTGTGACTCAGACTGCATATTTATTAAACAGTAGTAAAAGCTCCACAAAAACATTAGCAATGAAAACTGGTACTGCTTAAATTAAAGTTACAGAGCCTTTTCCAGTGCTGCTTTGATCTAGATGACTTTCTTAATGTGCAATATATGCAGGTATGTCTTTCAATGACTCCTTCAGAGAGAATTTTTTCTTGTTGTGTGCAAACATCAGTATTTCTCTGCATCTTAGAAAGGTGTTTGAACATTTCATTAATTTTCTGGCAAAATGTTTGTTTTCCAGTGTAAGCTTCCTGATGTGGAAGAATGTATGAGAGTGGCAGAGACAATTCAGGCGGATGGGGATGTATTTGAAACAATGAAGTACTATCTGTTAAGCACAGAACCTGAAAAGGCTCTCCCTGTTGGCATTCAGTATGTGAAAGGTACATAGTTGGATGAAGAACAATTTTAAAGCAAAAGTTGTCTGTATAAATTTCCTTATATTTTTCTTTTTATTTTTCAACAGAACAACTCTGTGGCTCAGATTGGACTTTAGATTCAGTCTTTCCATATCTTGATCTTTTAAGTTACATACGGACTGAGCAGTTAATGTTGCCTAAGTGTAGTGAGTGAGTATATTTTCCCTGACTTAGAAAAGTGGTACTTTCCTTAAAGGAATCTTTCAGATTGTATATATATATGTGCACACTGTTAGTATCATTTTTTTGTTTAACAGAGGAGGGACACAAAAAAAAATCCAGCAAGCATGCTTTTTTCCAGTCTGGAGAACAGAATGTGGACTCTCCCAAACTATGAAGGTTTAGCAAGAAAAAAAAGAGATATTTTATTGCTGCTTTCTCTGTGGAGCATTTACAATCTGTGAATCTATATTGGTCTTATGTGAGGAGCTTCACCTTGATCAGCTCTGGTTTCAGTTTGCTGAAGTGGTATCACAAATCATGTGGGCTTTTATGTCAAAACATTAAGGAATGTTGAGCTGTCAGAATTAACTCATAATTAACTCTAAAATAGATGGATAGCACTGGTTCACCTTTATGATGGATGGTTGCATCTAGGCCTAGGTGCCTACATGAGTATATGTGTGAAGAACAAAAAGGAGAAAAAAGTTGGGGAAACTTGGTGAAACTGAAATCTACACTAATATTTGGGGCAGTTTTATTTACATTTATTTACATTTACATTCTATCACATTAAAAGGTCTGAGTGATGTTGTTTGTGTAACTCTATTTAATTGTGCTTAAAAATTGTGTCATAAATGTAGTTTAAAATTTAATGATGGAAATCAATATGAAGCAGATGCAGTCTGTTTAAACAAGTGCATGACACAGAAAGTAAGCATAATCAGTGAACATATATTCTCCACAAAAAGTGGATGGATAAATAAGGTTTTGAAATTATAGCATGAATATGTGTTTGTTTAATGTTTTTCCAAATGCTTGTTGTTTTTCATGATTGATACTTGTTCATTTATAGGTTTCGGAATGAGTTACTGATTTTGTGTGGTTACATTGGTGCTTTACTTGCTATCAGAAGAGAGTACAACAGCATTGTACCTGCACTCTATGAGTATACAAGGTAATACTGTGTTTTCATTAACTCTGAGTAATCTCAGTCTTTATTATGACATATGCTATACATCCCACTTCTTCACATCACATCCCAAAAAAATGAAAACATGTCTTCCCTCTTAGCTATCCTCATGTCTGAAACTTGGTGAGAGGATTGGAGAAAAGGAAAAGGAGCATTTGTTTGTTGTTGGTTTGGTTTTTTCTTTTCTGAACCTAAAGAAATAACAAGATCAAATACAAGCTTTTACAGAAGGGCTATTCTGATATGGATATTATTAGACTAGGAACAAGCAGTCTTTGAGACTCAGTTTGTGATACTTTTACTTATGGCTGTAAAGCTTTCAATTATTTATTATGTAAAGAACCACAAAACAACACCGCTCAAAGCTTTGTTCTTGGATTGCCCAATATCTTCAAGACTCACTGGTTTTTAGTTTATGGCCCATCTTAAACTGAACACTTACCTGCTTAAGGTGGACAATTTATATGCTTAAGCAGGACATTTTTAAGGGATCCTAAAACAAATGAAAGATGGCAGAGTTAGGTCAGGTAGTAACTGCCACCTATATTATATTTTGACAAATAAAAAAATGCACCCACTGCAAGGGCTTTGAAACTGCTTTCTGCAAGTGAAACAAGGCTGTCCCAATGTATGTGTTGAACCATGTTTCTCTAATTGCATTTTTACCATATATGGTACGTGCAGGCAAAAGGGATCCTTAATTTTAGTAAAGTTGAAAATATTAAGAAATAAAACCACATATAGCCTTGAAATATAGAGTGGCCTCAAGTTAAAAAAATACATCAAATGAAATAAAGTGCAAATAGGGATAATTAAAATAAAATTTAAATATAAAGCTATACTTCCATAACTTGTATGAGTATTACTGAAGCTTAATATAGTGTATATTGTGAAGGATCAATTTATTTCCATAGTTATTCCATATCCAATCGGAAATAGTTTTATTTTACTACTGCCTATCATGTCTTGTTTCTAAGAAAATTGTCATTATTAGGATTAATTAGGACTTTAATTACTTGCATTCCTTTTCAGTCAGCTTTTAAAAAGACGGGAAGTATCTGTACCTTTGAAAATTGAACAGCTTTCTGAGGAATTAGATGCATGGAGAGCTTGCACACAATTAAACAAGTAGGTGGAAAAGTATAAAATTACCATGAGTGAGACTAGTAGTATTTAACTGTTTAGCTGTAAATTTATTCCCTTTGTAAAGTCTGAATGTAACTGCTTTGCAGATCTTAACCTCGCACACAAATTAGGAAGCCAAGTTGAAAACCAAATTTCTTTTATGTTCCTAGGCCCACGGATGAGTTGCCATGCACCCCGCCCTCTGAATCACAGAGAGCCCTGTACTCAGTACTTGTCTCACGAATTCAGGGGGAGCCTCTGAAGGGAATGGTTGGGCCAGACTGTGTCACTGGATCAAATCTTCCCAGTCATTCAGATGTTCACACCTCCTGTTTGACAGGGCTAAAGATCCAGGTACGCTTTCAGAGAGCTGAAGTGCTCTTTCTTGCTGATATTAATGACTACTTGTGAGGTTGCCATAAATCAAAGGTCTCTCCCACCATTTGGCTGGAAAAAGGTTTACCCTGTTATCACAGAAGCAGACTTAAATTGACAGGAAGTGACATCTGCTATATAAGAAAGACTGTATAAAGAATTCTCCAATCAAATAATTGTCATTTCCAAAATCCTAAATCTTTTAATTTACACATTAAAGATTTCCTTTGCCAAACGTTGTATCTAAAGTGTATTTATCTTTTGGCTAATCCCTCACCACAGCTAGAATAAAAAACAGGAGATTATTTGTCTTCAACCACATACTAATATTTTTCTCATTTTGGTTTTTATCTCTATGGAAATGCATACTATAAAACTTGGATTCATGACTAATTAAATCCAGACATTAGAAGACTAAGTATTCAAATATATTTATTCATCACTCACATTTTTGTGATTAATACACATTAGTCCTTATAATACCTATTTAGCATATCTTGTTATTTTAATAAAGAGAAAATTGAAAGATTTTGAAAACACTAGTCCTGACTCCAGACAATGCCTCAGTATGAATTTACTTTCCTAGGTGATGCCGAATCTGTTTCCTCTGTCCAGCGTAAGATGTCAGCCCAAAGAGTAACAGGGTGGTTTAGAGACTAAGAGGGATGGATAGTTTTCTGATGAAAATTAGAGTTTACAAAATGCTAGTGGGATTTTTGAGGTAAAAAAATTCTCAACTGCTCACCGTCAATCTAAAATAACTTGCTCTCAACGCTTCCAGAATAGATGAGTAGTCTCTGTCCATGGCTGTACTCTCAACATTTTCTAACAGACATGTAAAGCTGCCAGTGTTAGGGTCCATTCAACAAGAATAGCAAATATGGTGTCACCAGCTTCTCATCTACAGGATCCGTATTTCTGGATTAGCATACATTAGGAGTGGTGTCTTTGGGCATGCAGATCGGCTCAACAATCAAAATCAGTTAATACTAAAGCAGGGCAGCCTACTTGTATGGGTTTACAAGTTTTATGTAGCAAGTTTGGAAAGCATAATTCTTTAAGAAAGCACTGAAATTGAAATGCAGCTTTCAGAGCACATTTTGTCAAATTAATAAATTGGAAATAGCTCTTTTTCCATCACATGAATGAGTACTTTGTCCTTTTCACAGTGAATAATTCAAATTATTCTGTAGACTGCATGTAGACTCTCTTTTCAAACAATTCATGGAGACATTATATCAAGAGGATTTTTGTGGATAGGAAAAGCAAGGATCAGCAGAAATAATAATCATATGCATGATGAAATAGGGACAGTATTCTGAAGAAAAATGCTTGTTACCTCAGTTTCTAATTCAAGCTAAATTTAACTCTGGAATAATTGACAAGCATATATAAAATAACAATAAAACACATCAAACTAAAAATTTCAATATTGTGAAAGGTTGGCTTGACAGATTTGGGAACATAAGTGCCCTCAATTCATAACGTGTCGCTGTTATCAGAGTTTTAAGTGAGTGGGGAAAAATATCTGTAAGAACATAGTGGATAGGTCTAAACAAGGCATTTATGTTCTTCTGAGATAAAATATGCTTTTTGTTGTGGCCTTTACACAATCTGTATATAATTTCATTTTCTTTTCCTTCCCAAACATTTTTGCTTCACAGGGTCCTGTGTTCTTCCTCGAAGATGGAAAATCTACTATTTCACTGAATGATGCTTTGATGTGGGCCAAAGTGAATCCTTTTTCACCATTAGGAACAGGGATACGACTTAACCCATTTTGATGAGGTGTTTCCTCTGTACTTTATAGTGCTTAAAATAACACTCTGGGAGTTAATGCTGATTTAACCTTGATTGTCAAAGGACAGAGAGGTGGTAGTTGATTCCTCCTGCAGGTCAATTACTTGAACTTTGAAAATTTTAACATGAGAACAAAAGGATTTCTATACAAATGTTTGTTGAGAATCCAAAGAAAAGAGTTATTTGATAATCCAAAGAAAAAGTCCTAATTTCATATATAGCCATGTCATTTTTTTTTGTAAGAATATTGTCATCAGACAATTATTTTTGTCAACTTTGTGTGAATAGATGCTTTGTAAAGTAAGCAACTATCTACATATTACCAAAATATTGATAATAAACTGTGAAACACATAAACACCCTTCCAAATATATAATCATAGAAAAAATTACTTTATTGACAGCAACTCCAAAATTTTTTTAGAATGACTGGAATATTTTGGCTGTTTCACACTGTCCCCCTTTATAATTTGAACTAATTTTTACACACAGGGTTCTATAGCAAAAGTAAAATTTCAAGAGTAGGTGTTTTTTTCATCCACTTGTTATTGTGCTTTAATAGCAGTACAAATAGAAGGTCACTTATGTTTTGTGTAGATTATCTATGTTTTCTTTAGATTATCTATTTTTTATTTATTTATTTAGATTATCTAGATTACAAAATTGTATTTTCTAATAGGATCATATTTGGCAACATTCTCTGTTATGCTTTCACTGGAGGCTAAAACTCTTTATAAATTTTCTTGTTTTTTTTAACAAAGGCTTTGTATAGAACAAGCAGCATATTTATTGAAGTTATTTAACTATGCTATGTACATTTCGAAAGCTTGTTTTCTCTTTACATTTTGTATTAGTTATAAACATGCATATAATATGACAGACCAGAATTAAGTACTTGTGCATTTATATTTTTATTTACTACATCTGCACTCAAATGGAAAAGCAGTTATGGCAATAGAATACTAAAAATATTTAAAGCTATGTATAGTATGGAATTTATTATAAGGCAAATATTATACTCATTATTCTTATTAATAATTCTTATAAGCAGAATTGCTCACTTTTAGAAAAGATGCCTTGGTTGCAATACTTTTTGTTAGCTTAATAAGCTAAGCTTTTGTTAGCTTAATACATAAGCAGAAATCTATTTCATCTGGGTTTTTTTGCTGCTACTTTAAAATAAATTTTGAAATTTATTTAAATTCCTGATAGTTACATTAAATATAAAGAGGTTACAATCAAAAAATGGCAGAATTATTTCTAAAGCGACTGTTCTAAAACTGGAAATAGTATTGGGTCTCTATTTAGTAGATCCTATCAAAAAAGCCTCAATTTAGAGGCAAGCCTTGCCCTTATTTAACTATAGAAATAACGATGCCACCATGCTGGAATGTTGGGATGGAGATTAGAAATAAAAGAAAATCCTGGGTTGGATTTTTTGCCCTCCCTCTTTAAAATCCTCTGTCAATGTTCTAGAGTATTATTACAGGGTTTCTGGTGTAAGAATATATTGGGTGGAGGAACATAGCTGTTTTGTACCTTAAAACCCCCATTTGTATACATGGGTGCTGGAAACAAATCTTTTACTTCCTGCAAGTATTCTCTGAAAATATTTTTCCTTTGTTTACTCCATGGTACTTGCAGAAGAAGAATTCAGTTTCAGAAGTTAAAATTCATAGTTTTTGAAAGAATTTTCCATCAGTCAGTATCTGATCTTGCTTCTGTCAAATGAAAGACTATCTGTCTTTTAGCACATAAATCTTACAACCTCGTATATAAAAGCTCTATATACCGAGGTGGAGAGCAAAAAAAAGAATTGATCATGAAGCCCTGTGACTGAGGATTGGGATCTGAAGTATTAACTCAACTGCCATTCTACTATATTTTAAATCTTTTGTTGTATCATAAAAATTTTTATTAATATTTCACAGTTAAAATATATTGAATATGTAGAATAACTGCATCAATGTGTTGCACATAAATTATGACTTAACATGGAATCTTGGGCAAATCTACTCCCTCTAAATTACAGAGTGAGAGTTAGGAATTCATTCCTTGCTAAAATACAAAAATTAAGTCAAAGGGCATTTTTTATATTGGGGATCCATCAGGTAACAGTCTTTGTGAATAACACGAGGTTGTATTTTCCTTGAAGTTGTTTGTACAGTGGTGAGTGAGGGCAATATGCAGAAAAGGTTGTAATTGTGTCTGCTGTTACAGCTGTGGTTGCAACTGTCAACTGCTTCATCAGTTTCAAAAATAATTTCAGATTGTTTGCTAATGTGTAGCTTCATTGTCTAGTATAGCAAGTCAAATATAGATATCTCCCCCTTAATATTAAAGAATACTTTGTCTTCAAAAGACTGTTTGACTCCTCTGTAAAAGTCATATTTCCATTTAAATGAAAAAACATACGAAGCTACACAGCTAGTGCTTTCCAATTACTATTAAATCTCTGTTATGTTCAACATCCGTGCAAAATCAAATCCATTGTTTTTTGGAAATAACCTGTCCCAACAGTACTGACACGTTTATTATCTTCAGAGACAGCTTCACTGGCAGCTGCAGTCTGAGATGGGAGATTTGGCACTTTAAAGCCATGATGTGTGGAATGATGTCCTGTCTATTCCACCCTGCTCAGGGCTCCTGCCAGGCTGGGCCAGTGATGCTGCCCTGGCCATGGCCAGAGCCAAGCAGCCCACAGCCCCAGGGAGGCCCAGGAGAAGCACAGGGAGAACCTTGCATTCCACGTGCTTTCTCACCCACCAGTGCAGTGCCTCCTGTGGGTCTCTGGAATATGTTTTTTTTTCTTTTTCTCTGAAAATGCCTTAGAACACTTTTTAACTTGGATAAAAGTTCTTTAAGTAAGAGCTTTATTGTAATAGGGCGCTTAAACAGTGCTCTGACCTGGGTCACTGTTTACCTCAGATCCTGTTTCTAACATTTTAATATATAACATTTATTTCATACTAAGAATTCAACCCATCCAAGCCACATTGAATAGGGCCCTGACAACATGAGAACAGCAACAAATCTGTAATTTCTGGCTAAACAAGGGATCATTTTTGGAAGGGATTTTACCAAGCACTAACACCACGTATTTCATTGCCCTGTGTTTTTGTTATGTGAAAGTAGCACAGGGCTCTGATCTGCCAGAGACATGTCCCAGTGCATAGTCCTGCCAGGCCAACAACATCCATTCCCTCATTTGTTTGTCCCTGTCACATAGTAACAGAAGCAATGCCCAATCCAACTCAGCTCAGCTTGCCAAAATTAACTCAATTTTCACACAATTATCTCTTAGCAAAAGGTGGAAGTTTATGTTGAAAAGTGCCTCTTGCCTGAGATCGAAGTAATGGTATTACCAAAAGCCAGTTTCTTCTGACTAGTGCCCTATTCTGTATAATTACACACAAAAATACTACCAAATACCTGTAAGCTACCAAGATGGTCTTTGTTCACTCTTTGGATGGTGGCAGGGATCATGGAGAATGGTGGGAATAAATTTTGCAAATGCCACAAGAGCATGAACACACCTATTTTCAATGAGGTCTCTGGTGTTACTCTCAGCAAAACTTCTAACCTTATCTAGTTGTGTTCCAAATAGGTGTTTTGCGGAATAGCTGTTTGCTCCAATCTGATACAGGTGTCTAGAACATGAGAGCTTTTTTGCCACTTTGTCTGAATCAAGCTTGAAAAGCAATGTATGTACACCTGAAGGTGAGGTTCTAAATGAGCTCATTCTACGTGGAGAAGTCCAGCAGTGCTGTGGTTGGCTTGGCACTTCAAAGTTGGCTTATTTGTGGGAGTAATACACAGTAATGGTGTTGTACCTAAAACCACAAATTGCTACTTTCTGGATGAAAATAAAAACCACTACACACACCCCAGTACAGACTCAGAATATGATGGACTCCTAAGCAGCTCCTCATATCTGCATTTGACTTTCTAAGGACTCCAGAAAAGCCCCCTAACTAGAGCTTTTGCAGTAAACAGAAACAAATCAAGGTTATTTAACAGTGTCAAGACAGCTACATTTTTATTAGGAGCATATTATTTAGCAACTGAGTAAGCATTCCTCTTTGTGAAAGCTTCCTCTATAGTTAGTTCCTCACTTATCATCTTTCCAGTAGAAACATAAATACTGAAAGGAGTCACTGAAAAGGAATGGAAGAGGGTGAATCACCAAGGGCAAATGGCAAGTTTTCAGATGTCCTGTGCTTTGGTTTGCAGGAACTGAGCATCAGTCACTGAGAAAGTAATCTGTTCTCAAAAGAACAGCAAATGAGAAGAGGGAAAGGAGGAGTCCTGCATTTTAATCTATTCAGATCACAATCATCAAAAATTCAAGGGCATGAGCAAAGCCTCAGGGTTTTCTAATGTCCCTTGGGGGTGTCACCATTCTATCTCTGGCTAGAGTTGAACAATACCTTTTCACAGAAATGCCTGCTGGAGTATTCTGGGAAATTGCAATAGGATTTTTGGAGCTGGGAAAATGTTTACATAACATGTAGTAAGAGAAGTAATGTCCTTTCATGAGCTGTACCCATCTTGATACAGAAAACTGACATTTTTGAAACCTTGTATTCACCTCCTGAATTTGAGCTTGAAGATTCAGTACCTGCATCTCCACTATATGCCTTCAGAAATCTCACAGACACTACATATTAAAATATATCTTTCTCTGAGGCAAGTAATTATTTAATATGGCCATTAAGTTCTTGTGATACAGCACTGTTATGAAAAGATAATTGAAGTGCCCATAAAATTCTTTTTTATAAGAGGATACCAAAAGTATCTCCATATTAAGGATTTTGAGAAGTTCCTAATTGTACCAGTAAACAGAATTCTATAAAAAACTGAAGTTATGTTAACATCAGTTTAACTACAATCCACAGCACAGGCAGTGAGGAAGAGTAGAGGAAGTGATGTGATTAATCACTGTGATTAATGAACTGTCTAGAAAAAGAAAAAGAAAAGGAATTGATGTTTAATTGTTTTATTTTTATCAATGCATATAGTGCACCCATGACCAAGTATTTTTAGGTACACAAACAACAGAGATTTGAAAATACATAAAATATTGACTCTAAATGGACAAACTTAACAAATAATAATGAAGAAACTCTTTGTGGTTGAGGTGTGTCAAACAGATTTTAAAAACATAAACACAATTGAAGTTAACAGCACTAAAGCTATAAAGGGTTAAGATAAAGTTATACAATCACGTCCCAGAGTATCAGCACACTTATTCAATTCAGCTGGATTAGCACCTTGGCACTAGTTGCTGAATGGCTCCCAATAACTATTACATTTTCAACACCAGGTGTCAAAGATACCATTTTTTTAAGCAATATGCAAAAAGGCTTTTTTTTTTCCGCCCAGCAGTTCTTTAGATAAAATGTACAATAAACAGAAAAAAAATGTACTCGCTATATTTAAGTTTCTAACAATTAATTACTATGTTATCTATACTGTAAGAAATTCTTAAGTATTGTTGGCAACTGGAGTTGTGGAACAAGATGCAGTCTAGCTCTTCCTATGTAATTTCGGATACATAGTCGGCAGAGCTGACAAAGAGAAGATGGTGTGGCTGCAAATAGAGAAAGAAGTTTAATTGTACAATTATAAAAGCCAGCACTTTGTTTTACAACTGCCTCACACAATAATACATTTCTAAAAAAAATTCATATTTTGCAAATTTGACCTTTTTCTTCATTCCGTTTCTTTCACTGTCTTTTCCTTTCAAAGACAAAGACTGGGGCTGCTTAAACCTTAATAAATAGTTAGGGAAATAGTAAAGAAAGCAAGACAAGGTCAGGTTTTTTTAAATTAAAAACCAGTTCCCAGGAAATATCTGATGTCAATAACTTTTGAAAACTGCAGACTTGTTGTTTTGGTTTTTTTAATTCACAGCACAGGTTCCATACCTGCTACAGCACTACTAGCTGCACTACCAATGCATCACTGCAACAAGAATAAGCAGGAAAAATACCCCAAGATCTTGGACCATATTTAGTGGTCTTACTACTTAATCATAATGTCTTTATCATTCTGCCCCCCATTCCTTAAAAATGCTATTTTCTCTGGACAATAAGCCTGGATATGTTTCATGCAATGTAATATTTTTCTTTGCTCTAACTTTTAAAAACATTACTAGTCTTAGTAAACTTGTGAAAACATATAGTTTTTAGAGCTGTTTTGTTAGCAGCATTCAGACTACAGGGTGGTTTTTTTTGGAGGTAAACATGAATCAGTGTTACTTGTCAGTTCACCTCTAGAGACGCCCATGGTTATTGAAATAGTTGCATTCTCTTGTGGCTTATTTTTACATTATACATAGTTCAGTCTGAACAAGTCCAGTTCCCTTTGCAATATTCTCTCTTGACAAGGCAGATAGACCTTTAAGAGGTTTGAGGAACTATAGACTCTTTAGTCTTCTGTTTCTCAGATTTTGAAAATTTTGTAAAGAAAATTTAGAAAATTAAAATTCTTACTCTTTTTTTTTTGCCCATAATCAAAATAATTTTCTTTATATGCACATAAAATACATATTTAAAATATTATGACAGCTGAACAAAATGAAATATATTTTTAACCTGAAATTTAAATACTCTGTTTCTTTTCAAAAAGGTCTGTAAAAACCAATAAAAATGTAGCTTAAATATCTACTTAAGTAAACACCCAATAAACATATGATGATACTTTTTCAACTTGTATAAATTCTGATGCTGCTTGGTCAATGGGCTCTGGCCTGAGGCTAAATATTGCTGAGTATGTTTATAATTAGAAAGGAAATTACCTGAATGCTCATATAATCATTTCATACAGCCTAGTGTTACCTTCTATAACATGGGTTTTTTTGACTGTTAAATTGGGTGTTTTTCTAGGTAGGTTTGGTTATTTTGATAACACAAGTTGCAGTTTCAAATATAAACATCTAAAACTTACCTTCATGGAAGAGCAGCAGTCTCTCCACTAAACTGCTTGGGGCAGCTAAATCAACAGGCCTCTCAAAATCTGAATTTTTGGCATTTATGTCTGCCCCAAATTCAAGGAGTAAGTTTACAATCTCTGTACTAGAATGCTGGGCAGCAGCATGGAGTGGAGTTTGCAAATGCTTTCCCTTCTGCACGTTGGCACCTGGTGGGCAGATGCACATAAAGAGACATAAGAAGAGATTAGTTAAATTTGCCATTGAGTAAGAAAGATGAGGCTACAAAGCAAATAAAAATCACCACTGGTCTGGATTGCCACAGTGCATTTAGCCACTTTATTATTATTTTATTGCATAGAACTATAACTAACCACATCAGTGTTTTGTTTGGGTTTTAGTTTTTTAGCCTAGGTTTTATTATCCAAGTACAACCAGCTAAAAAAGCATCAGGTACCAATCAGATAACAGAAGCATCACCATTGCCTAATCATAAAAAGCACTTTTTGTTTATATTTAAGAAAATCTGCACTACATAAAAAACATACTTTCCTTATTTAAGTCTTAAAAAAATAGCACTAAACTGAAGTTTTGTATGTATATTTTTGTGAATACACCAACTCAAGAAAGAATCTTGAATGCCTTATAATTTTTCACATGTTGAAGCTGGCAGTGGGTTTGAAATAAACTCCCATCCCATCCAACCTTTATTTATTAATCTATAAATTAGTTTTAATTTTAGTTAAGGTGAGACACATGGTCGAGAAAGCTAATAGAAAAAAAAAATCCCAAACCAATAATTCTCTAATCCATGGGTTCTAATTAGTACACTTTTGTATTAATATGTAATTTTTAACATGTTTTAAATTAAAATGGACTAAATTAATTTGCAATAATGCATTCATATTCAAGAAAAAAAACCCATGCAAGAGTTAAACTAAACTAGCCAGTATGGAAGAATCTCCCTTAACATGGAAGCTGTTGGTTCATCTAAAACCCAGCCTTCTTCAGACTTCTTACTGACCTTGTGAGATCAATAATTGCCTTCTGTACCAACTTTACTCCCTGATTCAACACTTTTTGCATTTTAAATGTCCATTTGAGTAAAATAATAATGTCACAGGTCTACAGTAATTAGATCTGAAATCTGAATAATTCCCTGTTCTTATATTAACCACTGGAGCCTGCTTCTGCCTTCTCTTGCTTATTTCATTGTCTACCTGCTTTTCAACTTCTAGTACATTGTCACAAACTGATAAAACATGAAAAAATTTAATTTACTTAAGTAGTTACTTAAATTCTCCATTTACATACCCTTTTCTACTTCAGGGCACCAACAAATGCAGAATATGCCCTTCTGTTACTGTTTTTTCTGTATAGTAGTATTTGAATCCCAAAGTATGCTAATTATACTTTTGCTGTTCTTAAACATAAAAAATCATGACATAGAAAAATTAATCATCCGAGAAGATGGACTCAATGAGAAACACTTTAACTGCTTGTTTAAG